AATGCTATTCAACAGCACAAAAGATCAAAAGGCTTATACATGCAATGTGGATGAATCTTAAAGAACTGAAAGGAAGCACACCTAAAGGATACATACTACATGGTTCTATGCATGTGACATTCTGCAAAAAGACCAAACTATAAGATTAGAAATAAGAAAAGCAGTTGCCCAAGGTTAAGTTTTGGGAGGAAGATGCTGAATACATAGGGGTATAAGGGAACTTCTTGGGATGATGGAAATCTCCTATATCTTGTTCGTGGTGATGGTTGTAGGACTGTTTGTCAAAACTTATGGACTGTATATCGCAAAGGGGTGAACTTTTACCATATGTAAATCATGCCCAATGTTAAAAAATATAGAAAGTACTAAAGAAAAACAAAACAAGCCCTCCCAAAGTTCCTATGATCTTAAGGGAAAGAAGAGAGCAGTGGATTCTCTGGGTCCCACGGGCCGAGCCCTGGTCCACCTCCCCTCAGGCCACCCATCTCACTGGTTCTAAAGGTGACACCCAAAGTTCAAGTCCAAGTGTACTTCTCCAACTGAACAACCTACGGCATCTTCCTGGCTCTCCACATAGCTAGATTCTTCCCATGGTATTTAATTCCCCTATTTACCCCTTGAAGGCTCACCGAATGCTCCTTCTCCTCAGTACCCCAGCACTCCCTGAGTTAACACCTCCAGGCAACCAGGCACTTGTATACACCCTTCATTTCACTCTGCCTTTCCTTCTGCCTAGAATCTCATCCTTTGACTTTGTCCCATGAGCCATCCCCTAGTTGTTTCTTGTTGTTTTCTTTTTTTAAACTTGTTTATTTGCTCATGCAACAAATATTTAAATTCCTACAGAGGGCTGGACGCTGGGAACACAACCATGAATCCAGAAAGTTTTCTTGGATAACTCTAATCAAGGTTACTCTCTCCCCACCTTTCCCACCAACTTGTTCATATCACACTCATAGTACTTACTGTATTATATTATAATGAATTGCTTAAGCATGAGTTTGTAACTCCTCAAGAATGAGAACTTGTCTCATTTAGGACATCAGAGACAGAAGGTTAGTTAAGAGAAAGCTCCTAGGGTTAGGTATCATATACCTGTGGTTAAAGCATTACAATCTATCAAGTGTTGACAGTTACTTGGGCAAGTTTACTTGAAGCAAACCCCAGTTGCTTCACCTTTATACTGAAACTACTAATATCTAATGTACAGTGCAACCTAATTGTGAGGATTAAATGAGCTCATGACATGTAATAGGTGCTCAACAAGGCTAATTATTGTTATTCTTATATCATATTATATCAGTACTATCTAATGCACACATATCCCGCCTAAGTACAAGGGGGTTGCCCAATAAATGTTCACCAAAGGGATAGAGAGATGGTTGGAAACTGTCCTAGACCGACCTTCTCAACTTACCTGGTTTCTTATAAGTCACGTAGATATAGAGGAATAACTCAATGATATAGGTGATGACAGCTGCCCACCAGTTGATGACAAACATGACAGCACAGCACAAAATAGCTCCAAAAAGAGATACCCACATGTTGTAAATCCCATAGGCGGGCCTCCATCCTGAAAGTAAACAAAGCAATATAAAGAAGAAACCTTTCCACAGGACTGCTGTCCTCTGGCAGCACATTATAAGAGTGCAGGCAGCGTGTCTTCTCCCAGCTTCAAGAATCAGAATCTTTAGGTCCGTCCCCTAACTTTGTTATTATTTTTATATGCTCTTGAGTCTCTGGTCTGTGAAAGTGGTGGTTGTATTAAAGAGCATGCTATAGAATTTGGAAAATAAGCATCTGGAAAAATTCCCCGGATGGACCCCTGACGACTTCCTTCATGTCTCAATTGTTCCAAGTTACCTACACTGAGGATCTGAAATCCATTCTATCAGGAATTGAAAGGAGACAGGAAACATGGAAAGGTGAGGATAGAGAACTTCTTGGTTGTCCAAAAAAGAGAAGTTTAAGACAATATGCTCTTTTTTACTCAGGAAAAAGCAGAGCAATCATCAAGAGTCAGTCTGCTTAATTCCTGGTAGCTCTTTCATTACCCTAGCAAGACAATTGTCTATGGGAAAAGGTGAAATTTTCTAGCAATGGCTTCTGAACCCAATGCATTAATATGTCATGCATTTTTGTAATGAAAATATTTCTCACAGTTCCTATATACATGGGAGGTTTCCCTATTCTATTAATTCCCTGAAATAAAAGAAACTAGGAGACAGTATGGGCAGGATAAGGATGCTCTGATTTGGAGGACACCTTTGGTTTATGGGTGAAGTACGCCTTAAATTTGGAGTTGCCAAAATACAGTAGAACTTTAAAGGTCTTCAGGAAAAATTTCCTTAAATGACCACAAGATGGAAATAGCACTTAAGGAACATCTTTGGATATAACAGCTCTTACCAAGGCTGGATTTTTCAGAGACAGAGAGAGAGACAGACAGACAGACAGACAGACAGAGACAGAGAGAGACAGAAAGAGAGACAGAGAGGTTGAGAGAGAGAGAGCAAGACAGAAAGAGACAGAGATTAGCAGAGAGACAGAGAGAGGAACGACAGCCACTTTCTGGGTTTGCGTATCAGTGTGTCTCCTACATGTTTTTCTGTTTTCCTTTTTCTCTCTCCCTCTACCCAGTCCTCCTTTCCATGTTTTCTCCTGCCAACCTGTTTAATTCTGCCTTGTTTTTCAGAAATGCCCATACCAAAGCAAGAAGCCACACATTTCTCTGTGCTAAGAGGCTATATCAAAACTCATTCAAAAGTCCTGAGCTATCTTTTATAGCCATGGGTGGATAAAGCTTCCCTTTCCATCCGTATTTTGTCTGAATGGCAGCAAGTTTTTCAAAGGAGACTTGGGATGGTGGCAGGCTCTGAAAGATTGTTTAATTATCTTCCATGAAAGTTCTCATGATGAGGGACTTTCTAAGGGTTGCCAAGTCTCTACTCTAGTGAGAAGATGGAGGAAACCCTATGGACTCAAAGACTCAATGGACTCAAAGAAGGAGTGATGTGTAACTACACACAGGAAGGCTCTTTGGTGTGGAATTCTGAACGACATTAAGTCACAGCCCCAAAGTGCCCCACTGACCCCAACATCCACGTGATGGGCCCCAGGTGAAGGAGCAGTGGCTGTGCTCAGCAAGTAATTATCGGAACTACTCATCCTTCTCTTCCACACCATGGGCAGGAAGCAAATTGATAGTAAGGAAGTCTCAAATATATACATTTATTCCACTTCTGTGGTCACTTTCACCCTGGAAATAAATAGTGGTGTTTTTCTACCACTGAAATAAATGTGGTTTCTCTTGCAATGAATAATTTATTGCCACAAGAGAAAATTGACTTTACGGTTGGTCAAAAAGGCCATTGCTCAAACGATTTGTTTTCTATTTCGGAAGCCAGCCCCCAACTCACCAAAAGAAAGTGGATTACCCTGCTCTTCAGGATATGAGGAAACACGGAAACACATATTGAACATTTTTCACAGGTTTACTTCATTTTATTGAGACAAACAAACTGTTTGCTTAGCTTATTTTAGTTCTGAAGTGTCATCTTACCTGGCGATTTGGCATAAGAGGCATGGAAGCAGGAGAAATTAATAAGTGCATACGAAGCCAAGAAAAAGTTGGAGATGATGGGTGCAATGACGTTCAGCTCGGCTGTAAGAGAAACAGAATTGAACATGTACATCTGAGTGATGAGACTGGGGGCTGAACAGCTGTTATAGCCAGGGAGCTTGACTTTATTTGGAAATTGAACACACAGCTAGCATCTGTCAAAGTTAAGAAGTTGGTGATTTTTCTTTGGGACTGCATATATAGTCTTCGGGAGGGTTTCCATAAAGTGAGAATCAAGAAAACCTACAAACCTTTCTATTTTCTGTAGAAAATAGAAAATCAAGACCTCTACCTACTAAAAATTCACATGGCAATTGGCGAACAGTTAGGGACTGAAAATATGATAAACTCCCCTGTAGCCATTTCGGAGGTGCCACAGCTGTGTTTTTGTCTGTTGCTTTTGTAACCCAAAGGCTCTGCAGGGTGCCAGGTTAGTTAAACACTGGTGCACTAGAAACTCCCAATGGGAAATCTCTCTGCATACACTCAACATGTTCTTGCCTACTTGCTGGGTTCTTGTTACTCTATACTTTCCCCCATATCTGGGTACTTCTACCTCTCAAGGCTTATCAAAAGTAGTTTAGCCCTCAGTGGCTAAATATCCACTGTCATTCAATCCCAGATGGATCACTTATTATGTGATAAAGAAGAAATACAGAGACACCCTCATTCAGCTGCAGTTCAGACATCTTCAACCTCAGTGATACCAAAGCAAGTGGCAACAGGGTGTAGAAACCAGTAAAAATGGGCGAAAACTGCCGTCAGACTTGCTCAGGGAGGTAATTCACACTTTGAAACGGTGATCACAAAGGACCTCATTTAATTTGCACAAGTGTTTAAACTTTGGCTGTGAGATCCTTTAAACGTAGCAGATTGGTACATCCCTATATGTAATACCTTACGTTTAATTTTTTAAAAATCTAAGAAATGGCCAGGCATGGTGGCAGTCATGCTGTTATCCCAGCACTCAAGAGGCTGAGGCAGGAGGATCGTTGTGAGTTTGCAAACAGCCCGGGCTACAAAGTGAGCTCAAGGCCAGCCTGAACTGCATAACGAGACTCTGTCTCAAAAAGACCCCCCTCCAAAAAAATCTAAGAAATGTGCCAAGTTACACATTCCTCTCTTTAACCTCATAGAAATTTGATGTGGATTCTGCATATAGTTCCTTGCTGAGTTTTATAGGTAATAAAGAGCAGCCCTCATGCTTAGCTCTGGCATGCCCATGGGAAATTCCCATCATAACTTGCCTTTGGCTTCTTTTCCTCAAATCCCCTCACCCGGCAAAGATGGGGCCACAAGGAGGGCAAGGGATGTGCAGGCTACAGCTGTGAACCTGTCTTTTCCAACATCATCTAGCTGTTCTATACTGCTTGGGAGAAGAAGCCAAAGTTACCATGGAGATATGTGGTTCTCATGCTAATGACCTAGGAGTCTTTTGAGGGGCCGGTAAAAGGCAGATGCCTTATCCTCAGAGATCTGGCTTCAGTAACTCTGGAGCTGAGCCTGAAAAGCCTGCACTTTCACAGACACATTGGTGATTCTGAATCCAGGGTCAACCAACCACATTCCGAAAAACGGGACGTGGACAATTCAGTTTTGCTAGCCATCAAACCAGTAGATGTGGAGATGGGGACAGCTCTGGAGCAGTTAGGGGTTGTGAATGGTTGGATGGGTTTCGAACTTTCCTATTCAGAGGCCAGCTTCAAGTCCAGAGTGCCCTCAGGCTCCTCAAAGACCCTCAGCACACAAGGATTTCTCATTTCCTTCTCAGACAGGCTCCCGTATTCCCAAACAGGATCTTAAACGCAAAACAGGTAATTTCTCAAATGGAAGGGAAAAGCTGGAGGAATCAGAGGAATGATTTGGTTTCCAGTAAGAACAAGAAAGCTACACACCAATGAGAATAAACGCCATGGCTATCACAAAGGTGAGCAAGTATCCTCTCAGGGGCTCGTTGTTTTTCCCGTATCCCTTTGCAAAGAACTGGAGGCCTTTGAAGATGTTGTCCTTGCACAGAGCCTAAAGGAAGAAAAAGAGGAGGAATTTGTCATTTATATGTATGCACAGTCATTTTCTCCGGGTGATTCCAACAAGAAGATTTGGGGGAAGATTAAGTGGTACATAAGATGAGGCCCACGTGAACACCGCAGTTTGTCATTCTTTATCTTATTTGAATTGATCTTCACTATGTGGCAGGCAGAGCGCCTGAGCCAGATGTGAACATTAACTGTTTCAGAAATGATGGAAAATGATTGTCGGTGAGAAGGACTCTTTCAGCTTGATCCACAGTAAAGGGAGGAGCACAGGCTTGCAGGCAGGTCTTACCTGGAATACCTTGGGGGCACTGACCAGGGAGGCCAGGGCGGAGGACAGCGTCGCCGAAAAGATTCCAGCAGTGATGAGGGGGCCAAACCCTGACACCATGCTCATGACCTGGAGGAGAAAGGTTCAGGGATGCAGAGGCCTGAAAACATCAGGCAAATAGTATGCAAATGCTCCCCTCCCTACTTCTGGTGATTGGAATATATTATAAGCCAAATGCTTGGAACGAAATACTCCCCTTCCTTCATTCTCAATTCCCTCCGTCCCTCCCTCCCTTCCTTCCTTCCTGCCTTCCTTCCTTCCTTCCTTCCTTCCTTCCCGCCGCCCTCTTTCTCCCTCTCTTCCTTCCTTCCTTTCTTCTTCCTTCTTTTCTCCTAATCTCTCTTTCTCTCATTCCCTGTACTGGAGCCTGACCCCAGAGAGTGCTGATCTACATCCCTATCTCTTAAATTTTTTTTTTTCCTCTTAAGAAGATCTCCCTAAATTGCCCAGGTTGCTCTCAATCTTATAATCCTCCTGCCTCAGCTTCCCTGGTAGCCAGGTTTACAAGTGTGTGTCACCACATCTGCCTCCAAATTCTCAATATTTGTTCTTTTAGAATGAAAATGAACTTTGATATTATTTACAAAATAGTAAGTGCTCACCAAAATGTATCTACAAGATACTGAAAAAAATAGAGGAGGAATGATTTCAGAGATTTTGACAGTAGTTTACCCCTCTGTTCTTTGGGGTCATGTGTTTCTACAATGGTGAGAAATTCTATCCAGAAGAAAGTATTATTGTAGTAAGATTTGGGGAGGAGCTTAGCTGTTTACCAGTCTTTTAAAAAGCATTAGCCTTTCTTCTTTCTTCCCCACATAGAGTTTTCAAACCTTTGCTTTCCCTGTATTCACTAAACATAATTTTGTATCTGAGATCTGATGAGATTCTTTCCGTTTCGGTCATATTTTGGATAATGACTTCAGCTGAGTTAATTTCTCTGTGTTGGTGAGTGACGTAGATGAATGAAGACTGTACCCCACACCTACTTCTCCCTCTCCTCACCAGTCATGCAGAAAAATTAGTACATTTCCGGTCCTGCCTTTCTCCAGTGTCTCTTCCCCCATCCCTCCCCCTTCCACTCCCAATTTCTCTCCCTTGCTGTTGTCTTCTAGGCACTCCAGGGCCACCTCAGCATTCTGTTCTTGGCCAAAAGCCATGGGACTAGCTAATCTAAGCTGCTGCTTTCCACCATGAAATCCTGTACAAGCAACCAGAAGACACAGTGCCAAGTGGTGCTCTCTCCCTGGGGATGCCATGTCTCCCACTGCCTGCTGCATCCCCACCACAGGAAATGCAACCACGGGGACCGCGTCACCACCACAGGATTCCTGTCCCTCACACACAGACTGAATTCAAAGCAATCCGCTCCAGGTTCAGAAGCCTTACTGGATACGATGTTCTAAAAGCACAACAATGGCCATAGACATTTTTTCTTGACAGTGCGAACCTGGAAGTTGTTCATCAGCCCATACTGACACGGCTCATGTCGACATCTTGAGAAGTCGTAGCCCAGCCCGCAGGCTGCAGACCCATTGCAGTTCATGCTGGAGATGATGGTGTCATTCATGCTTCCGGTGGCATCTCGGACCACACAGGCCGCTGTGGGAACAATGGGGATTTTCATTTCTGTAATGTAAGGGCTCTGCTCTCTCTCGGGGCTTTCTCCTGAACACACACTTAGCTGGATTTGCATCTAAACAGGCCTAATGCTAGCCTGCGCTCATGGTCAGTACTTCCTGGGACATGGCGGCCAGAAGCTCCCATGCTCAGCTCTGAAGCGCCCCCTGTCGGTTACAGGATGCCATCTCAATAGCAGGGAGGGGTCTAGATCTTCGTCTCATGGCCCCGAAGACCTATGGAGGTGGAGGTGGCCTTCCCTGCTCACCTCTAAACTTGTGTGTGGCTTGCGCATCATGATCGTTTCACATTTCTGGTTTAGTGTTGCTGAGCCCATGTTTTTCAAATTAGAAGGATCTGTTTCCTTATCTCTGAGAACCGAAGTAGGTCATTTTAGTAATTACAAGGCCCTTGTTTTCAACTAACCCCTGGCACGATTTTTTTAAACAGCAGTATAATTCTACTTTATACAAAAGTTTAATGGCTTAAATAATATAGGCAGTGTTTGGGGAGAAAATATTAAGATTTCCTATTTGACCATTAGTAGTTATAGTCAAATAATGTTGTATTAAGCATTTCTTTCAGTTTATTCCATTCCTTTCACACACGGGAGTATCTGCTATTTTCTATGGTGAACATTTTTTTTTTTTTTTTGGTTTTTCTCCGGTACCGGGAACCAAACTCACGACCTTGTGCTTGCCAGGCAGGCGCTTTTGCCACTGAGTTAAACCCCCAGCCCTATGGTGAACATTTTAAGATGAACATCTTTGTGCATACACTGTTTTGTATTTTGAAATATTTCTGTGGACAGATTCTTAGGAATTATGAGCATTTAAAAGATCCTTGATATATAATCACTAACTTTCCTTACAAGTTTTTGACTGTAATGTCTGTCACTATGTATTTGATAGCATTATTAGAATATATGATATATATATATACTTTTTAAACTACATGAAGAAAAAATCTTTTACAAACTAAATATCAACCAGTAAAGTTACTTAGTTTGTTTTTCAAATTCTACCCACAGTTAGTTCTCTTTTTCTTTTTTTGTTTGTTTTTTTTCCGGTACCGGGAACCAAACTCACGACCTCGTGCTTGCCAGGCAGGCGCTGTGCCGCTGAGCTAAATCCCCAATCCCCAACCCCACAGTTAGTTCTCATTCCTTGCTAATACTGCAATTTTAAGACAGGAGCCAGGGACAGGAACTAATGGAAAGCTTCCATCTTAGTTGTGGAACTGACATTCTTTGAATCTGGGAAAGACTTAAAAATCATAGAATCTTTCAACTAAAAGAGAATATCACAATAATCAGTGAAGAAATCCTTTCTATCATAGCCCTGAGAGGTAGCCAGCTGGCCTCTACTAAAACACTTGAAATTATGCCTGTTGATTACCAAGAAGAACCACTCATTTTAGGTTTTGCCTCTTTGCATTGTTCATTTATGTCAAACGGACTTTTCTAAATCATCTACTTTAACTTCTGCATAATAGCTCCTTGCAAATTCACAGGAAGCCAGTCCATGAGCCATTATTTGCTGTAAGGACAGGACATTGACTCCATGACTATCTTTCCCCTGTCCTGAGAAAGGTACAAAAATGCTGATTTTTTTCTACCCATGGGTCAGGGGGAACTAGAAGAATCTCTGAAATGAGGTCTATAACTGCTCATTCCCTCAATTTATATCTGATTGTTTTTTTTGTTTGTTTGTTTTGTTTCTTTGTTTTTCTTCTGGTACCAGGAATTGAACTCACGACCTTGCACTTGCCAGGCAGACACTGTGCCGCTGAGCTAAATCCCCAGCCCCCCTCAAGTTATATCTGAAAAAGAAAAACCGCTTGAGAAATTTAACTTTAGGCAATTGCAATGTCATTTGAAAATGTGTTGATTTCTTAAAGCACTAGAACAAAAACTCTTTACATGTAACTGGGCTTGGCAATAACACAACAGTGTATTTAACAGGCTTCTCCAGTTGCTTCAACTAAGAGGCTGCGAGGTAGGCAACAATCTGTGTACAGATTTTTGTTTTTCTTTTTCATCCAGAGACCACCTAAAGATATATGCACTCTCCCAATCTCCTCTCTGATAGAGGGTGACCAGGAGCCGCACTTTGCTGAAATGGTCACTAGGCTTCCATTGGGCTCCACCCCGGACCTATGTAACCTGCTGTGCATGGAGAAGGGTTTTCTCTGCAGGCTGGGGAGCTGTGTTTCTTCCTCTTTCTCCATAGCACAAGCCAAGAGATGGCTTCCAACCAGGAAGCTATGTGGCTGCAGGCAGCAAGTGGAACCACAGTCAGCCTCAGGAACAGCGGGAAAGTACACGGATTTCCTGTTCCCTGAGCAATACAGCAGCTGACTGCCCACACTGCCAGCAGCTGAGTCTTGCTCTGACATGTCCACATTAGGGACAGCAGTGCAGGGATGACACTGTTATAAATCCTACATCTTTCATGGTTTCCTAAGGCCATGTGTTTGCTTCATTTTGCCTTGATTTTTTATTTCTTTTCCCTGCTCTGATCCTTACCCGCCTTCTAGGCAGGTACTGGAAGTATGGCTTTCGTAGCAGTGGAAATTTCACCAGAGAAACAAAGGAGGACCTCTTTAGGCTCAGGCAGGACAACCATTTGGTTAGCTCTACCCTAGCACTGACCCAGAGATACTGGTATTACAGTTTAATAGCATGAAAACCCTAAATGATCCACACAAACAAACAAACAAAAAAACAACAATCAGATATAAGTTGAGGGAATGAGCAGTTACAGACCTCATTTCAGAGATTCTTCTAGTTCCCCCTGACCCATGGGTAGAAAAAAATCAGCATTTTTGTACATTTCCCAGGACAGGGGAAAGATAGTCATGGAGTCAATGTCCTGTCCTTACAGCAAATAATGGCTCATGGACTGGCTTCCTGTGAATTTGCAAGGTTCCATCATGTAGAAGTTAAAGTAGATGATTCAGAATTAAACACTTTCTAGTTACACTCCACTGGAAGCCCACTAGACGTGGAGAGTGATGGGGCTTGTTGTCGTTCTGACACCAGAGACATACAACTTACCCACACAGATAGCAACCCCCAGGTAAGCCACAGTCGTGATGAAAATGGCCAGCATGGTCCCTCTAGGGATGGCATCTTGGGGGTCCTTTGGGAAAATAACATACAGTGAGCATAGGTGGCTTGGAGTTATTTTCAAATTCCTAAGCTAGCCTTCCTAAGGCAAGTTCTAAGAAATGACCAGATGGCAAAGTGGTGAGCTTCAGTTCTTTCTGGACAGTTTTAAAAGCAAGTAAAGATATCTGTAAAGCTTTGTGCTGAAAAAGAAAAAATCATGAACTGTTCAGGAGAGAGGTTTTATAGAGAAGTATGCTAGGTAGTTCTCTTATCAGCTCCCCCGCTACCCGTCTCCTTGGATTTCGTGTAGATATACCAGCCCCGGAAGTGTAGGGGAAAGTACACATACATATCTGGCATGCCAATATGTATTTGCTTCTCTGTGTATTTGTTTTATACCGAGCTCAGGCTTGCCTTTATAAAAATTACTTCTGACTGAGCAAAAAGGATGACACACTGACTTCTCCACTCCTTCAAATTCCTCATTTGGAATCTAGTGCTGGAATGTCTGTGATGGAAGAGTTTAATTCTTCTAAGCAGGCATAAAGAAAGAGGCCAATTCAAGCTCATACCAGAAAACGGGCTTTTCTCTTTACTATAAATGTACACACATTCATGAAGTTGAGTTCACATCATATTTAATTTACCATTTTATATCCTATTTGGGGGCCTAAATCAATTTCCAAGCCACATATTGAATTATATTCAATTCAACTTAACAGGCATTACTAAGCAGAGATTTTAATGCATTCATTGCTTATACAGGACAGTGCCTGGCATATAGTGAGAGTCAATAAATATTGAATTGAGGGAAGTATAATCCCGGGAGGCAGTAATTTCCCCACTAGAGGACATGAGATTCATCAGTACAAATAAGCAATCAATGCAGTCAAACAAAGTTTGAACTTCTTCTTTTTAACTTAAAAATATGCTGATCAAACCCATCAAAATGGTCGCTCCTGGTGAATGGAGACCCAGCCCGACAGCAGGAAGTCCTATCTGGGAGCTCTGGTTCTGGCCCCTCCCCCTCTTCTGGGACCACCTGCATCGCTTTTCTCTGTGGCCGGCTCATCCAGCCTCTCTTCCTAACCATCATCTCCAAGAGTCCACGGGGCAGGCGTGTGCGGTGGAGCCACTCACAGAGAAAGTGGAAGCTGTGACCGTAATGGCCCCCACTCATGTCCCCAACTCACGTCTCAAAATTTATTTTATGGATGAAGACCTTCTTGGGATGTGAGTGGAAAGTGCACTAAGCAAGCGAGAAAGAAAATCTGTAAGAGGTGTGAAGATAGAAAGCAGTCTTAAAACTAAGACACAGACTTAGTTCTTATTTACAGCTATCTGCTACTATGGGCTCTGAGACTGCTTAATAGAAGTTACATGAGGGGCAAGGAAGCCTAAGATGTTAACATGATGTGTATGTGATCCTATTAGGGTCAGTAACACATGGCATTGTTTGGTCCGGCTGCCCATAGACTGGGTGTGGGACTTTGGTAAATTCAGTTTTTGCTCCAAGTGTTAATTTGAGCTCCTCCAGCAGTAATCCAAAGTCTAACCCTCCACCACTTTTATTTTTTTAGTACTGGGAATTGAACTCAGGACCTCATGCTCGCCAGGCAGGCACTGTGCCACTGAGCTACATCCCCAGCCCCCTCCACCGCTCTTAATTAAACACTGTGCTTTTTTCTTGGGAGAGAACATAAGCAATGTATTAGGTTGCTGCTCTTTGAGGATGTCAATAGCATCCCAATTTTGCATCCCTGAACCTTAACTCTTTGGGCTAGACGAGTGTTCCCCCAATTTTTTCTCAGGAATCTGTTCACAGAATATCTACCGGTGTGTCATTAGCAAGCAGAAGGTTCAGTGTGGGGACTCTGCAGCACCCACCCCTTGCCAGATCCTGTTAACTGTCAGTGGCAGCCCGAGGCCACCTTGAGAAGGATTCTGCAGCACTGAACAAAGAGAGGTGACAGCCTGTACTGTGCAAAAATAATTTACAAAATCGAACTGCGTCTACTATTTCTCATTTCACTCTTAGAGAGAAGTCACATGTACAGGCACTGAAGCTCCTTGCTGACCGCCCAGCGCATTGTCACCTCTCAGTACCTACCGTACTTGTCCATTCTGGCTTTTGACTGCATTACTATTACCCAAAGCACTGCCTTGTTTTGATTTTCCTGACCCCAGTGTCTCTGGTCTTCCCCTACCTCTTAGCTCTTTGTCTTTTCTTGTCACTGGTTCCCTTGTTACCATAAATATGTTGAAAGTCTGTTTCCCTGAGCACTTCCCTGCACCACTTCTTTCCTTCTTGCACGTATGTGGGAGCTCATGTATGCCGTGGCTTTCCATCTGCTCCCCCTTCATCCATCTAGCTGCCAGCTAGATGTTTCCATTATGATGTTCTCCTGCCACTCCAGCCTCAGCGGTCAAGTCTCAGCTTCCTTTAGTGCATGAAATCAATTCAACAGGTTGCAACCAGTGTTAAAAGAATACAATCAAATAGAACTGATGTGAAAATGTCAGAAGACATTGCTTGTAGTAGAGAACCAACTGGGGAAAATATTAAGTGTGGATTCGGTTGCGGTGTGCAATATTTTCTTGCCATGGATCACAGTTGAGATTTTTTTCATTTCTTCTCTTGACACCTTTCCTCCTCCAGGGCCTTAAATCCGGCACTCTGTAAATGCCCACTAAGCTGAACTGACTGCTAAGCATCTGATACAGATTGTTTTTAAGGAGTCAAAGGGAAGCACAATGTTCTTCAATTTAGAAGTGTGCTTACGGTTTGCAGAAGTTTAAATCGGTGGCCTTGGATACTTTTCCAGTGCCGAGAAACCATAACGACAACATCCATAACTAAATCCCATTAAGTAATGACACTCACTACTTGAGTCATTCGGAATAAGTTTCTTTGACTTTCCTGAGCATCAGTGGAGTCCTTTTTTTCCTGCCATTATCTCTGCCTAAGCATGTACCACTGCATTGTGGTCACTAATATACCATATCCAAATGCCCCAGCTTGTTCACTCAATAAATATTTATCAGTGGCTCACCAGTCCAGAGGGTGTGGTGATGAATAAAGCCAAAGGTGAAGTCTCACTGCCTGGCGTTATGGTGTATGGATGATGTCCCTAGAGCACATCTTTCCCACAGCTGGCTCCCTTTCCCTTGTGGGGGTTTCTCCCGTTGAAGTGTGAGACACCCCTCCCTGTTCTCTGTTCCCCATGCGTGCTTTACTGTCCCTGTGGTCCTCTCAGCCTGCGACTCCCTTACATCTCTCACCAGCAGTCAGCAGCTGGCCCTTGCTTCAAGTTCAGACTCAAAGCTTAGCCCTACGAGGAAATCATCCCTAACGGAACAATGAGCTCTTCAATATACTTATTTCACAACTCACTTGGACAGCGTTCATTTATACACGTCTCCTATGAACTCTTTCTTTAAAAATATATGTATCTACTAGTACACGTTTGAAGTACATAAAGATCAATCTCATCTGTTGTGGGGAGTTGGTACATGTATACAAAACATCTTATTTCTTTTTATTTCCTTTCCCCCTCCTTTCCTTTCCCCTCGCTTTCCTTCCCATTTGCAAAAGATCACCCTTCCTGTTTCCTATTATCTACCTTTTATTTTGCCCTTTATTTATACTTTGGGTTTCTCACAGAAAAGAAACCATGTGATAATTAAGCTGTGTCTGATTTATTTCACCCAGCGTAATGGACTCAAGGTGCATCCATTTTCCAGTTTTAGTGTGCGTGCTGCTGAAGCGAGCACTGCATCTATTTTCCTGCAAATGACTCACATTTATCTTTACGGCAGAGTAGTACTCCACTGTGTGTAAATACCACATTTTCTTTGCCCATTCATCTAAGATGGACATAAAGGCCGCTTTCAAAATTTAACTATTATGAACTCTGGTGCTATAAACATGGGTATGCATGGATCGCTGCAATATGATATCTCCTGATGACTCTTGAATATACTTGTAAAGTTGATTACAAATTTATTGATCTAACAATTTGTGTCTTCTACTTTTTTGTGTGAGGTAAAACCCATGTGTTCTCTATTTTTAAAGAGAGTTTTTATTGTTCCCCCGACAGCTATCTTCCCCTTTGTCCTTTTAATATTTGAACTGTTTCAAAATTTTACCTGGGCACATGGCTGTCCAGTTGGGACTACATTTCTCAGCTTCCCTTGTAACTAGGTAAGTTCACAAAACTAAATGCTAATTAATGGAACAGCAGCCAAAGACATACATACAAGTCCAGGAATTGTTTGATTTGCTTCCTTATTTCCCTTCCTATGGACTGCAGTGTAATCTTGGAAGGGATTTTATTTTATTGTTTTACTATGCAAGGAGGATTGAACCCAGAGCCTTTGCATTGAGCTATAGCCCCAGTCCATCTGGGGGTGGAGAGGAGGGTGAGACAGAATTTCTCTGTGTAGCTCAGGCTGGCCTTGAACTCACTGTGTAGTCCAGGCTGGCCTCAAACTCGTGGCAATCCTCCTGCCTCAGTCTCCTGAGTGCTGTGATTATAAGCATGCCCCACCATGCCCAGCTAGACCCAGTCCATTTTTCATTTTTTATTTTGAGATAGAGTATCACTAATATTGCCCTACATTGCCCAGAATGTGTTAGAACTTTCCATCCACCTGACTCTATCTTGATCAGTCATCTTAGACTTTGCAGATGCAGACAACCCTAGAATAATGGTAGACAGGGGAGGTCATTGGAGCTCTGGATTACCTTTTGAAGCAGACCATTCTTGTTGGATGGCACATGGGCTCAAATTTTTATGCACCAAACAAACAGCTATCTTGTTTTGGCCATTGTTAGAGATCTTTTATATATCATTCAGCCCAGTGTCCCAATACAACAATCCATGTAATTCTTAGAATAATACGAATAGAATAATATGAATGGAGTGCCAAGTGATAGAGTGGTTGGCTTTTGTTTTGTTATAGTTTTGCTTTTCTTAACTGTTCCATGTTGTTACTCAGTATGGTTTTAAAGAGGAGGTAGTTAAGGAGGTGTCATAACTGTACTATATTCATTTTGTTGGTGAAATGACATTGGGTCAATATACTCTGCTCTTCTGACATCATTGGGTCAGACCTTAGAACTACCTGAGACAGCAACCCAAATGTGACATTGAAAGAGAGCAATCGTAAATGGCCAGGAGCTCTTTCAGAAACCTTCTAGTTTTAATCTGCAGGGAAATGCTGTCACATTTAATCTGTACAGCTCCTCGCACCTCCCACCAACCGCACTGCCACCTCCCAGGACGGCAAAGCAGAGAAAACCACACACCTCCAAATCTCCCGAGATGTTGGCACCAGCGAGGATTCCAGTAGCTGCTGGGAAGAAAATGGCGAAGACGGAGAAGAACCCTTCCCCCTTAGTGAAGCTTGGTCCAAAATTCTCCGCAAATATGGACGCTGCACAAAGGATAAGAAGAGTCATAGGTGGATGCTTCACCAAGCAGGGCGAGTTCTTTGGGTTCTGTGATTCCAAATGCAAATGCATCCCTGAATTCTAAGTGCAGTGATCTTAGGATGTTGGTGTTACTATTTGCCAAGAGCCAAAATACCTAAGGTTTTCGATTTCTAGGACATAGCTCTGAAAAATCTGCATATTTATTGTATCCACAGAGACCCAGGGTGCCTGATTTCTTTGAATCTAGAAAAGATGGAAGGAGAAGATGAAGCATTCTTTCATGACCATGTTAGCATACTCATAAATATATCACACGTATTCCTGTACGGTTACATCTTCCCATGCATAAATACCCGAAACAACCAACACTCTTTTTTTTCTAATTGTAGGAGAGTTTTGTGGATTAAGCTACTTTAAACTCTTACTATTGATTTTCTAATCTCTGATACCTGCGTGCAGATTTTGGATCTTGAATCCTTATGCCAAATTTTCACATATGGGAAAACGGTGTGGGGGAAACAAATCCCACAGGCTGTTGCCAAATGCTGAAATGAAAAGAAAAAGAAAAAGAAAAAGAAAAAGAAAAAGAAAAAGAAAAAGCCCAGCAAGCTGGAAGCAAAACATGAAGGAAGAAGGAAAAAGAGGAAGAAAACTGCAGAAAGAAAGGAAAGAAAGTTTAAAATACACAGGCAAGAAAGAGGGAAAAAAGAGGAGGAAAAAGATGTCAACATCCAAAGCAAACTAGATGGTCTTTACAGAGAGGAAGGATCAAGAAGAAGAGAGGATGTGTTTTTCAAACACAAAACAAGTAATGACAATGGGATGAGCAATTAATTAAAAAAATCCCACAGAGGGTGATTCCCAAGTAAACTGGACAGGGAGCAAGTAGTGGGGAGGTGGAGTCGTGTAGGCGAGAAAGAAGGCAAACCCCATCAAATCCCATGCTTCGTCCTGTTATTACAGGACGCTGCACTAAGGAACGTCTTATGCCTGAACCCTGGACAGCAACACAGCACTAGGTAAAGCCGTCTCAAGGGAAGGTGCCAGAAGGTCCACCAGGAAGAAAAAAAATGTGTTTGAGCTTAGTTCTTTGCAATGGTCGAGCCAAGTGTTTGAGCCCTGCTGTCTCTCCCAGCCTGTACTTCCTATTCCTGTGATTTGACAAGGACAACTTGCCCTGCATTTTAAGATTTGAAAAGCACCTTCACACCCACTGCCTTATTTACTTCTCCGAATTCCCTTGGGAGGTTATTATCAGCATTCCCACTTTAGCCGGAAAATCTGAGACCCAAACACATTTGATGATGTGTCTAGCTGGTAAGCAGTGGGGTTAAGACCAATCCTGCTTCTCCTGGACCTAAATTCTGCCCTTTCCTGGGCCGTGTGGGATCCTCATGGCTAGTGCTGTGGGCTGAGGGGTGGTGAGGAGAACAACGAAGAGCCTTTCACTGAAAAGCAGTTCGTCTGTCTTCTGTACCTTGGTAATTAAAGAAGCCTCTGGACTTCTTCTCATTGTTGGACGGAATGACAGTTCCAATGAAGAAGTTTGCAATTGCAATCAGAAGAATGACCAGAAGAATCACTTGAGCCTGCAATGGCAATGCGAAAGGAGGCTGAGTTAGGTTTATTTAACAACTTTGTTCACATAATTGTAAAATTATGTGTCCACTGGAGAAAGTCTGATTATTCCAGTGAAGGCTCTGCCGTTCAGCACAGGCCACAAGAGCAGCCGCAGGGCATGGCGTCTTTGTAAGCCTTGTTCCATCTGGATGTTGATGCCACAGTTTCCATGAGAGCACGGACTTGGGCTCCTGAGGCTAACTTTTCAAGAATGGTCCAAGACAGGTGGGTAACGACTGCAGTGGCTGCAGAAATGTAAACAACGCCAAGTGTTTTAGCATTTATGCACTTGCGCTTTTTCTAGACAGATCACCTGTGGGTTGTTCCTCCTCCTAACCGTACAAGCAGAGCACAACACGGAAGGGTTGGCAGAGTCCCTGTGGTGCCCAAGGCACGTGATGCCAGCTAGCCAGTGTGTGCTTGGCGTGAGCTGCCTGCAGCACTCGCGGGCTAACTAATCCTTCTCCAGACCCTCCAGTGCTTGGCATCACCTCGGCCTGGACTCCACACCACTCCTCTGTGTCGTGGTGTCCTGCTCCTCCTCTGAGTCTCAGGTAGGTACGGCCTCGGGAGGCCTTTCCTCACCACTTCACCTAAATAACTACTGAGCAGCTGTTCACTGAGGGCGTGCAATAGGACAGACGCAGCTTTAAATCTACCTGTATTTCCTCCGGTAAGCGATGCCACCAACGGCTCTGTGAAGTAGGGAATACCAGTGTCCCCACTTTGAAGACGAGGACACTGAAGCACAGAGGTTAAATAATTAACTCAGGGTCACAGAGATACAAACCAGATTCAAAACTAGACACTCTAACAGACCCAGAGCTTTAAATACTGCCCTCTGCTGCCACTAAAGTATAATGCCTCCCTCGAGGAAGAAAGCAATGAGGAGTAGGGGTCCTCTGCTACTTGCTTTTATTTTTTCTCCCTCCCTCTCTCCCTTCTTCCCTCTCTCCCTTCCTTCTTCTCTCCCTTCCTTCCTCCCCCACTCCTTTCCTTCCTGACCTGGGGATTGAACCCAAAACCTTATGCTTATTTACTTTATGGTACTTTTCACAATTTACCATTTTATATTTATCTCTCTATTTATTTGTTTACTCCTCATCTATCCAGAGACCATATGCTGAGGTAGGGCAGGAATCGTGTCTGTCTTGGTCCCAATTAAACATCCGGTGTCTCGCAGAATGCTCAGCATATGGTCAGCACTTACTTAACTTACGTTTATTGTGGGAATTCATAATCCACAAAGAACCACCGTATGGGGATGTTGCCTTACTAGATGGGAGGCTTTGCCAGTTTTTCATTTCTGGTGACCATGTGAGAACTAGCTGTGCATCTCCAGTGATGGAGGGACATTTTAAACTGCACTGATCCATGTGAGGAGTTCCCAAAAGAAGCAAAAGACAAGGGCTCCCCATTATTCAGCGATGTACTATGCTCTACCACTCGTTAAATCTAGATATGCTCTGGTTCCAAAGCCTATGGTGCCCTTAATTTCACCGGTGAAGTACTGGATTCCAGAGAAGAATAATGGTCCTGCCTCTGTCACCTTCCTCCAACATGCTTGTCATTTTGGGGGCCATCAGCACTCACAGGCAGCTTGCCAGGGGACTCCAGGGGTGGCCACGTCTCAGGGGCTTCCAGTGTGGTTGGGATCGAAAAGGGCCTGTGCATGTGGATGCGGTGACCTCAGTGGCTGTGTCACTATGCTGATGGCACAAAGGAGGAAAAGCACAGGCGTGTTCATGCGCCATATGAGCTGAGGTGGTGCTTTAGGTGCTCACTGTTCCACTAGCGCTAACTTGCTCCTTTCCACTGACAAATAACAATAGCCATTCTGTACAGGACCTGACCAGCAGTTGCTGATAACACCATTCTGAGCAGCTCACCTTTGCTTCCCATTCCATTCCTGCGACGGAAATCCCTAAAAGGATCACCACAGTGATGGAGCCTATGATCCGGATGTCATTGGTCGGGTCCACCATCATGGAGTCACTCTCCTGGGGGAGGGGAATCAACAGAATGATTAGAGAGACAGCTTTTTGCGTAGTGGTCTTACTGTAGCAGTTTATAGTCAGACGAGATATTGTACCCTAATACCTGCGGCCGTGTTGGACAATAGAAAAATAAAACGGTCATAAATTTAAGAAGATAAAGAACCTAGCATTATTTCTTTCTTGTGATAATAGGCATTTGATAGCCAAGGTTAGAAGTTATGAACAGTAGAGATGAATTCTAGTGAGAACTTGTGAGGCCACTGGAGCAGTAAGTAAAAATATGTCCGTGCACATATTGTGTTTTGTTTCAGAAGAAGGGCTTGTTACTTTTCTGTGTTAAGGGGAATCCTAGAGGAATAAAAACAAGTGGTTCACAATGTGAATACAATATTGGAAATAAATGTTGTGCAATTTAAGAACAGGCTACACAAACCTGATAATGCACCTCTTAAGATAACATGCTTTATGAAGTAGATAATATGTTCACTTATTAGTCTAATTTTTACACGGAGATACTTTTACTAGCTGAGTTAAGTCAGTGCTATTACCACAAGACCAGAAGTTAGTTCAAATGCTAGCTAACTAATGTGCTTGCAACACATACACAGTCCTAGCAGGGCGCCTAAACTAGGGAAAGTCTATTTTTCTGCACTGAGTTATTTCAATGTTTGAACTTTCTTTTCCTTCAGAAATCCATAACTATAATAGTAGTGTGATTGCAGATAATAATGTACATTATCTATCTGATGTTTCATATTTTACACGATACTTTTTATACATCATTTCATCTGACTGAACAAAACTTTTGTGAAATACACAGATATTATTCAATACACAGGATATTATTGGCCTAGCTCATAGTCTCAGGTAAATAGAGGAAGCTGTCCAAAGTCTCCCAGCTGATAAAGTGAGAGCCGGAACCCAAAGCTGAACTTCTGATACCACACTAGGGATTCCTTCTCCTGCATCCCGCTTTCCCTTCTCATCTGCCCACAATAATATCCCTTAGTGCCCTGAAAAAGAAAGCTGAGTTGAATGATCTTGCTTGGTGGTATTAAGAAAAGTTCTAATTACCTTAAGAAGATCTACTACCGTCTCAGCAAATCCCACCACATACATAGCAACTGCTACTGCGTTGGCAAATGCAAAGATCAAGCCTATTGACCCACCAAACTCGGGCCCTAAGCTCCTGGAAATGAGATAGTAGGCTCCACCTGAAACAAGAAAGGGACATGCTGTATACTGAGGAACAGTCAAGGCATTTAATGTACCTGATAAAATGATTCTGAATGTCTCAGCAATTTTAAATATTAATTATTCTAATAAAAACACTATAAATTCCTAATAATTTTAGAAGTCCTGTTATCCTAAAGAACAACTTAGCCCTTCTTTGTTCTCTGTACATAATCTATGTTACATAATAGATTGAATAAGATTCAATTTATTGAATCCTAAGTGTAAAAAAAAGGCTACAAATAAAAATGCAGTGAAACTTTACCAGAAACTGCTTTGTCCTTAAAAAACATCATTGAATTATTCAAATGAGCAATGCAACTGAAATAAAATTTTATGTCCAAAATTTCTAAGGAATAGGCTTTGGTAGAAAATGAAGTGGAAGAAGTGACCTTTGTTTTTTTCCTCCTTCTTTTCTGTTGCATAAGCATTTCTGCTGTATACTTGCTGCATAAAACATGGTATCTTTGCATGATGATATGTATTATGCATTCTGTAAATCAAGCTTGGTTTTTGTTTTCAGCTCATCAAGGCATGATTATTACCAAATACCCATAGTGCGGGTACCAATGGGGAAGGAGAGGAGTGAGCGCTCAGAGCGATCGCTTTTCCATTAGGCATTGAAAAGGGAGATCTGTATATGGCCATGGACTTCTGTGCACACGAAAGTCTCATTTGGACTTCTGAACAGCTAGAGGGTCTCTTGGGCAAGTCAATAGCAGTAGAAAAGGCCAGATGCTATGGTTTATATCTACATGTCCCCCAAGAGCCTCCTGTGCTTATAGGGAGGCTTGTGGAAATTGATTGAATTAAGAAGGCACTACACCCAACTTCCTGTTAGGAGACAGGTCTGGTTGGAGGTGGGTCACTGAGGCATGACCTGGAAGTCCTTATTCCCTTCCGGGTTCTCCTTTCTTTCTCCTGACATGAGCAGCTTCTCTGCCCAGACCCTTCGCCATGCCATTTTCTGCATGTGAGTCTGGCGAACATAAGCTAAAACGCCTGAAATGTGAGCCAAAATAAATCTCTCGGCCTTTACGTTGCAGGTGCCCGCTATTTTGCAGGTGACAAGAAAGTGACTAAGACACCCGATGAGAAGCTTGGTTGTCACAGACCATCCTAATTACCTTCTATACTGAGCTAGTCTTGGGGGACAGACAGAGTTGCTGTGGAATGAATCTGAACATACATTCTTAAACACAAAGTTCAAGCCACCATTTACTGAGGAGTTTCTTTCATCCTAGTAACTCCTTTGGGGTTAAGGGATCAAAGGCCTCTCTAAAAATGTTACATTATATGGGTGGAACACATCTCTTTTATTTCTTTTCTCCTGATTTTATTCAACAAATTAGTTAGCCAGTGACCCAGGCAGCAAAGTCCAAATGAAGGACAGGTAGAGAAGCTGGAGGATAGGTGTGTTGTGGGTAGGATGACATTTAGAAAGCCAGAGAGGGAGATCTGGAGAAGCTCCCTCAGAAGAGCCCTACCTGAAAAGCCTAGGGGAACAGCAAGGGGAATGAAAAGAAATTAGAGAACTATGCTAAACTTCATCTGCTTCCTTTTTGCCTAGGCCGGCTTGCTCCTGGATAGCTTGAAAGTAACTGTTTTGTTTTTCTTTTCTTTCTGATGATCTTCCCTGGCTTATTGGCCACCAGGAGCAGAGTGTCTGGGTTGAACCCTGAAGTCTGGTGCAGCAATGGTTTGCTGAGTGGAAATCACGAACAGGATCAGCTATGGTGCCATAGACCCAGCCTGAGGGGACCTGAGAGATGGTCGGGGTGCTCTCACAGAATACAAGGAAACCACCTGGTTTACTATAATGTTCCATGGTTTCTTACTAGACATAGGGTCAATTACTCAATACTTTAAAACATGTTTTATCCAGGAAATGTCTTTTCTAGAGATTTCCTATTTGTAGTTGAGAAGGATTTTGTTTTGCTGTTGAAATTTTGGGTTATTTTAAGACTTTAGAGACTTAGCACTGTGAAAATTTCACTTCTAGTATTAAACCACCTTTAGACATTACTGAGGAGCCCAAGGTTGTAGTCATAAGGAATTCAACTGGCTTACCTCCTCTTACGACTCCATTTGTGCAAATAGCAGACATGGAAATACCTGTAAGTGTCGTCACGACTACGCTCAGGCCAATGATGATGACGCCAAGACCTGAAAAATCCCCCAAGAGAGGCATTTGGCTCCGGTCACTAGTACTTCAGGATATGGTAGCCTGAATCTTGGCAGAGAAGGCTCCGTCTCCCTGTGGAAACCTGAAACGTTCTAAAAGATCCTGTTCCATGAAGGTCTAGGAGCACCTGAAATGTACTGAACTTTTATGATGGAATCTATGTCCAGAGGTCCTTTCCTAGGAAATTCCAGCAAGAAGTGGGCAGACTGGCCTGAAAAAGAAAGTTTATCCAAGGAACTTGCACGTCTGTAACACTGGTCCAAATGCACCAAAGGGTCCATGGAGAAGGAGACCAGACTTGACCAGAGTGGACCTGGACTTGACTTACCACACCATTTGCATCTCTGTGTACCCGTGTCTCCAGGGACTTTGCCAGGCTTCACGGACATTGAGCTACTTCCTTGTTCCGATCAATAACAAAATATATAAAAAATGTTTTGCCTACCCGTAGTAAGTGATGAGGGGATTAGATATCTTAGAGAGTTTACCTCCACGAACAAACCCGTTAGTTGCTATTGCAGAAGTTGACAACCCAGTAATAGAAGTTACCATGGTGGAAAGAAGAATTATGATAACTCCAAGACCTGTTAGCAATGAAAGATAGAATAAATTACATTTTACTTTCCTTCCTTAGATTCTCTGCTGCTGCAAACTATGCTTGCTGCCTTTAAGTTTTCAGGTCCATGCCTTGGGCCCCAGTGGAGCTTCCTTGTGCTAAGGAGAAACCTGGTATAAAGATCAAGTCGGAAAACCGCTCATTATGGTGACGGATGGTTTCCAGCAGTAAACACAACCTGAAATGCAACCCTGCCAGAGAAGTGTTGACTTATGCCCGTGTCCTGGGAGAGAGACTACCCTGCCTGTGAAAAGTGAAAACATGACATTCAACCTTCTCACTTGCTCCAGAGGAACCTGAATGAGAAAGTTGGGGATTTGACAAAGGTTAAATCCTTCTCCATTTGTCTTGCATCCCTTTGCCTGAGGGGAGAAAGAAACCAACTTGTATTACCTTTGAAAACACTCCACAAAGGTCAGTGGTGAGCTGCTGGAGCCCGTGCTGCCTTTACCTTACAAATGACTCTGCGGGTCACAAGTTTAATTACCTCCTCTGACATATCCATTTGTGGCAATAGCAGAGGTGGATAAGCCCGTGATAGCAGTCACTGTGACAGCTAAGCAGATGATAATCACACCAAGACCTCAGTTGAGAGAGGAAAAACAAAGGCAGTTAAATGGCGGAACAATCCACTGAGTCATTTACATAAAAGCCAACAAGTCTGGGGTAATCATTGAGGGACCACAAACATTGGAGTTTCACAAGTTGGCCGAGAAATCACCACGCAGTGACTACTCAGCTTTGAAGCAGTGTTCCTGCGGTAGCTTCGTTTCCAAGAAGTTCAAGTGCTAAAAGGTGTAGTGTTGTTTTGGGCACAACTGAACAACTAAGACTGCTAAAAGGTGTACCATGAACCCCACCTTTGATGATGTCCATAGCATCCCATACTGATCATTTAACTGGAGATCAAATGTGTATCTTTCTAGGTAACATTGTTTTTAAGCACTTTGGTCATGAGGGGTGGAAAAGTATATCTACTCCAGCCTACTATTCATCAGGCAGGTGGGTAAGCAGACAGAACCAAACCGACCACATTAGCCTACTGACTGTGATCCCCAGCCGGTTATTTATTGCCTGAGCGCCAAATGACAATTAAATTAAAAGAACATGGGTAAAGATGCAGCACCCTGCCGAGGACTCAGTGAACAGCCAAGCGCCTCTACTTTCTACCACGTCTGTGGTAGCCACAGAAAGTACTGCCTCTTGATAGCCTTCTGTATAGCTAGCTGGTGGGCAATGTAAGAAATGCAAGAAGAAGTAAAATGAAATAAACACAGCTGCTCCAGAGGATCTTACGGCTCAGAGGGTTAATGAGAGAGAGAACATGGGAGAGGCCACAATGCAGGGGCAGACATAGCTGCTTTTAGTTTTAAGAAACACAGAGCCAGAGGACCTGAAGGGTGGCGGGATGTGCCGGAACAGACTGCTTTGGCGTAAAGATTACTCTGAGCTGAAGCCAATTGCAAAGAATCAGATGCCAGAAAAACTCCCTGCGCCTTCCTGTTTGCTTGCATGCGGGACACACATTTGCAAATGTGCCCCCTTCCCTCTGTACCAGGAAAGACAAGCTAATTGCCGGAGACAAGTGGAGACCCCAGTCCCTTGCAGAAGGCACCCCAGGAATCTACACAAGGCTTGCTGGCCAGCTTTTTCCTTCCAGTGGTACACCACTGATACTCCTAGCTTCCCACAGTTCGCCATCATAAAAACTCACAATCCTTTTGTGCTGTCTTGTCACTTTTGTTTGTTTTGTTTTGTTTTTTTGTTTTTCTTGTGGTACCAGGAATCGAACTCAAGACCCTGTGCTTGCCAGGCAGGTGCTTTGCCGCTGAGCTAAATCCCCAGCCCCTGTCTTGTCACTTTTCTATGGTTTTGTACCTTTTGTACTTCTTCTGTTAAGATGAATGTCAGCTCAAGTTCAGGAATCCCCCATCACAAAGTGCTTGTGCGTCTATGTACCATGCACATGTTAATAAACCTCTGTGTCTCTCTTGTTAAGTTGACTTGTGATCATCATCAAACTTCTTAGGCCATAGTCTGCGAATCTAAGACAGGTAGAGTGAAGCAGTGTTTCTTCCTCTACAATACCCTCTGTACCGGAGGCTGACCAGAACTCAGGGACAGGGTGCAGGGACACAGCCACCAAATTCACCATGGCTCCCTTCAGAGTGCTTCTGCATGGGGGTTCTGGTAGGCTCCATAGTTGCTGTTGGAGGATTCTCTTTACCACAGGTTAGAAGAGTAGTGCTGGCTTTGAGCTCTCTGGCCACTCCCCAGAGGAAGGGAAAATAGATGGAGGTTAAGAACAGACATGGAAACAAAGTAATGGAAGCTCTTTCCCTGCTTCTAGGCAAAGCCTGGCACTAGCAGGAGTCTCTAGGCTATTGTGCAAATTAAAATGAACCACGAAGAAGTTAACTGTGGAGAAAGGCTGCAAATCTGGATTATATTCCTTTGGCCCCTGCAGACTCTTAAAAGGGAGGGATTGTAAGAAATAGTTGCACTAAATGCTTTCTATCTAGTGTAGAGATCTTGTGGGGAGAACCCCTTGATTAGTACGTGGCCTCAGATACTTGTGCCACTGGAAGTGATTTATTTTTATCTTCTGCATGTTATTTTGCTCTTGACCTTATTTTGAGGAAGTTTAAGATCAACTGTTTAGCATGGTGCAGAACTGTATCAGACCACAGCATTTGCATTGCACGGCATTAAACCCTCACCTAACTTTATTATGTCCCTACTGTTATTTCCCTTTGCCGTCTAACTTTGTCATTTCCCGACTGTATTTCCCTTTGCTGATATTATTTTCCCAACAAAATCTTAATTTATCCTTTTGCATTGTATATATTTCTATAAACCAGTTAAAACTTAGAACATTTATACTTTTAAACACTGAGGGACTTGCTTCTGTCTCACAATCAAAAGTAAAATTCCATGGAGAAAAGTGGCTTAGAGAATATTCAATTCATTGTTCTCTCAAAGTGTGATCTTTGAACCACCTGCTCCATGAAATGCCTGGGGTCCTTGCTAAAAACGCCCACTCCTACTGAGCTGGGATCATTAAAAGCGAATCGAGGGATTTTGCAGCTTTCTAAGCAGACATCCCAGGCGATTCTCATGCAGCCTACAGTAAGATGATTAAGCTTCCCTCAGTTCATCTCAACTTGTGTCTATCTTCCTGCCAGGGTTTTTTAGTTTTATCTTTCAAGAATTGATTGGAGCAGAATTAATCCAATTCTCTAACTTTTTGACAAAAAGTGAAACTCACAGTGTATGTGTGACTTGCTACAGGTCACACATACGGCTTTGCGTACCCACCTACTTTGCCAGTGATCACTTATTGGTTATGTTGTCCCACCCAAGGCCTCCACAACAGGTGTGAAAACTCAAAATTCAGCAGCACTGTCAGCTCTTTCTGTCACTTGCTTTTAAGACCAAGATGAAAATTTGCAGGCTTGGAAGTGTTACCCAAGGGCTATAGCTGGTTCCAGATACCTGGCTTTCTTCTGGGGATCCAGGCGAAAATGTGTTCAGGTTTCTTTTCGAAATTATCCCCCAAAGCAAGCAAAAAGGACAAAGAAGGACAAGGAAGTTATTTCAGTTTTTCTTTCTTAATTCCAGAAACCCAATGGGACCATGTGATAACATAACTCTTCTAGCTTTAGAGTCATAGCCAAAGCCATAAAACTGAGTGAAGTCCATAAGAAGTTCCCATTCCTCATGAGAGAGAGGGAGCGAGTGAGAGAGGGAAAGAGAGAGAGAGAGGGAGGTAGGGAGATGGAGAGAGAGAAAGAGAGACAGACAGAGAGAGAGAGAAAGAGAGAGAGAAGAAAAGCAAACCAACAAAGCTCCCGGGGAAGGAAAACTCACTGAAAAGGCATTAGGTAGAGCTCTACTGGCTTCTAATATGAGCTTTAACTACTTAAAATAGCAGTCATATCTGGAAGTAGAATAAACTCTTGAGCAGAAGATAGGATCCTTCATATTTTACAGTCCTGTATTACACTCAGCTGGCTTGACTTGAAGAGTAATGTAAGATCTGATTAAGGTTCAGATTATTACCCAAACATATGGATGTTAAATAAGCCGCATTAAACAGAATTACTCCTGACCCTGGCTACTCTCATACCTCCAAACAAAGTAACGCTCCTTGATGATCTCAATAAGTTACTAAACTGCCCTTAAAAACCTAATTTTGCGTGAAACCCTGGAGCAAAACCTTGGCAATACAGAGATGCAGATTTTCCACTGAATGGCTCTCACTTTTTTGGCCCGGGGCTGTGGTGCTCATTTGATATGCATCATAAAACCCGCAAGCAGCCCTTTGTCAGGAACCCAGCAGTTGCCAAGCAGGAAACATGGAAAAACTATGGCAACTGGGTCTAGTTTTTCAATTTACATCTTAGCCCTTTCTTTCTCCAGTTAGTCTTCTTTTGGTTCTCAATATGTTTTGAGGAGCAAGGCAATAGTCACTATTTACTTTGTGTGTGTGTGTGTGTGTGTGTGTGTGTGTGTGTGTCAATACCGGGTCTTGAACTAAAAGCCTTCACAATGAAGTACATCCCCAGCCACCCCTGCTCCCTTTTAAAAATTTTCAGACAGGTTCTTCCTGAGTCCCTAAATTGCCCAGACTGGGCTTCAACTTACAGTCCTCTTGCCTCAGCCTCCTGAAGTGCTGGGATTACAGAAATGTGCTACCATGCTCAGCTACCAGCTACTTTCTAAACATGAATTGAGCTACTTTCTGGAGTAGGGTCTGAAAGAACATCCAGAATTCTTTATTCTCAGCACTCACGATTTATAAATCTTCCTTTAAATGTGAATTCATAATGTATTTCACATACATAGAAGAGAACATCATTAATTTTTATCCCATTAAATCAGGAATGTTGATAAAATTCAAATAGGTTTTTCACATAAATTTTACTAATGTACTCTGCACAAAAAAGATTTGCTAACAGAAATAATATGTTAAATGGAAATTAGCATTTAAAACATTTGTCACTCAGAATAATATCAATATCTTCCTTTTTCCACTTAGAAAAAAAATGGTTATATATACATTATCTTAGTCACTTCCTCTACCATTTTAAGCTTATATTGAGGAATGTCTTATTTAGTAACACTTGCTTTCTTACTGCAGGTATCTGAAAGCAACACAGTGATTTTCTCTGGAATATGTTAAAAAATGCATCATTCTTATTAGTCAGGTCACACTTTCACCAGTTTCCCAAGTTGTTTTTGTTTAGTGAAGTTTTACCAGATGTCAATAAGCAGGCTATTCTGTGGCAAATAAATGGCAAACTTGGGTCAATATATCCCAAAATATGAGCATAATTATTTAAAAATGAATGTGTTTTTGTAAACCTGTGTGCTTCAACCTCTATCAAAAATAGGAACACTCCTTGAGCTGGAAAATTCCAATCTCATTGGCGTTAACCCCTCACCTTTACCTCTGACCAACACTGTCAGAGAGACAAGGCGGAAGGAGGTCAAGTGTGAATGATTTCTGAAACCTTTCTCTCCCTTTCAGTATTCATAGTGAGACCAAGTTGTTTATGAAAGTGTAGGATTAGGGCTTGGGGATTTAGCTCAGTGGCACAGCGCCTTCCTGGCAAGCACAAAGTCGTGAGTTCGATTCCCGGTACCGGAAAAAAAAAAAAGGTGTAGGATTTACATGGAAAATTATTTCGCAGGGGAAAAGTACTTACCAATTCCAGCTTCTCCTACGATCCAGGACAGGCGAATGAAGAGCATGACTCCCCAGATGTTCAGCATGCATCTGACCTGGGGAGGGAAGGGTACTGAAAAGAGGACCGAGACAGGGGGCCCAACCCAATGTCTTTGCCACTGCCGCTTAATCCACCAGCTGCCTGAGTGGAAGTGTCCGTGTGTAAAGAGAGGAGCTTTCTCACCAGCACACCTTTCACCCAGCCAAACTTCACGACACCAGCTGTGTCTTCCGCTTTGCTGTCCCCTGGCTCCTCTGCGGGCATCCCATCGCCGTTAGCGACCCTGTCTGCTGAACCTGGGGCCACGGTCACATTCTGCGTTTCAGGAGAGCAAAGACATAAGAGATGGTCAACAAATAGATGGATCCAAGTGTTCAAAGGCGAATCAAGACAACTGCCGTAAAACTTTAGACAAAACCTAAGTGTATTCTAATCATTTTAGTAAAATGCTGTTTTACTGGGTGTCGCCCCAACTCCTGGGGGGCTGATGGGTTTCTTCTGTGACTGCTTTCTAGGCACAGCTAACATTGCAGAGGTAGCGGGAAAGTCTTCCACTAATCGGACTATTCCCTGCCGTCAAAGTGGTCAGACTTAGTTAAGTTTAAAACAGAATAGGAGACAAAAGGAACAAAGAAGGACCATGCGGCAAGAACAGATTTGCCTTTTAGAGATCATGTTAGGAAGGCCAGAAAGACAACTTTCCTCACTCCTGAAGGCTGAACGTTGAAATTTTTTCCCTGTGCTTAATTTTCCTTACCTCAAATAATGATAATAAAACCTGTCTAATAATCTCAGAACATCCTTAGGAGGAGTCAATGACAAAACACAAAATTATTTTCTTTACCAAAGAAAAAAAGTAGTTTTAAGAGTCTACGAAACTTCAAGTCACTGTATAACCCTCAAGAATGCTATTCCTGGAAGTTTATTGTGGATTTGCTCTTTGACAGAGAATTATTGAATATGCTAGCACATGAGGTGAAGGTAAGAAGTCTCACAGCTGACTACTAGAAGATCAGCTGGGAAGAAATAAAAATAAGTAGCATAAAATAAGGATTAAAACTCCCTTTTTTGTGGTACTGAGGGTTGAACCCACAGTGTTCACATCCCCAGCCCACTTTATTTTTTTTTTATTTTTGTCTTTTTGAGACAGGGTCTTGCTATGCCATTCAGGCTGGCCTTAAGCTCACTTTGTAGCCCAGGGTGGTCTCGAACTCACAACAATCCTCCTGCCTCAGCCTCCCCAGTGCTGGGATTACAACCATGCACCACCACGCCTGGCCGTTTTACTTTTTTGTTTTTGAGAGAGGGACTTGCCAACTTGCTGTCTCCCATCTCAGCCTTCCAAGTAGCTGGAATTACAAGTTTGCGCCAATGAGCCCAGCAAAGATGACAACATGTCTATATTTTTTTTCTGTGACTTAATTTTGAAAAAGATGTTATGACTTTTTGAATAATGAATGTCCTTCCTCTTTTGTATGATAGTCTCTGAGTTCAACGAGGGAGAAAATATCTCTGCTTCTTTCAAATTAAGAGTAATTCTTGATCTCTAAATTCTTTTCTAGATTGGACTTTGAATAATTTTGGATACATGTACTTAGATTAGTGTATCTGGCACTTACTTGGGTTTTTGCTGAGTAAACTGCATCTCACTGAGCTCCCCAAAAGCAGTCCTTTCCAATAAGTATTTGAAACCACTGGGGAAGCCCCTTAGCTTCAGCTCTTTATTATTATTATAGAACAACTTTGTCTTATTTAAGTGATCTAGGATGATATGTTGTGATATTACTAGCTAAGAAGATGTGAACAAGGAGAAATTTTTTCTTCTGTAAAATGGTACTGTATGTAATGAACATTTACTATGTACTATTATAAAAACTATAGAAAGCATTTCTTTAAATATCTGCATGCCATATATGCACAGGTAACTGACAGCCAACATCGTATATTCACACCAGAGTAAAGTGTGGGAAACAAGCCAAAGAAACTGAAGCTTAGCTGGTACGGCAAAATCTGGTAGTCTCTACCAGCTACAGATGCAAATCATGTATGTAATTTAAAATTTTCTAGGCACTGTTTTTTAAGTATTTATTTTTGGTTCTGAGGATTGAACCATTCTGTATCACCTTCCAACCCCTAGCAGCTACTTTTAAAGAGTGAAAAACAATTGATTTTTAAAATTTGGTGAAATCACTTGGAATTGGATATAGACCTTTAAATTAAAAAAAATTTAATTCTTACAGAAAATGATATTTCTATTATTGCAGTACAAACATTTGTGAGTGTTGCCCTCTCTTCATGTGGAAGGAAACTGAAGCACAGAGTGTTTTAGTGTCACATTTTACTTAATAGTGTCTATGTAAAATACTATCACTTAAACATATAGAGAATATAACTGTTATTAAGTTATTTTACATATGTTGCCCATGCTAAGTTTTGTAGTCTGGTCTATATTTTCCACTGACATCACATCTCAGCTTGGACTGGCCACATTTCAAGGGCTCAGTACCCACAAGTGGTTGAGGTCTACCATATTGGACAGTCCTGGTCTATACAATAGTTAATTTCAGGTGGATGAAACATTTGATGCTGCTTCCAAGTCAAACAAAAATTCTACTTTTCTCTTGATGAACTCTAGACATACAAGGTGGCGGCTGAATGGGTCAAATGTAACCTTTGCTTATCATCACTGGAAGTTATAATCAGTGAGAGCAGAGAATCTCAGAATGTATTAAAATGTTTGTGAATATTGAAGAGATTATTTGGCTAAGGGATAAATTATTTGACTTAATTTGAGAAAAACTTTTTAAAAATTATCAATATTCTGGTTAATCAAGATTCCCATGGCCAGATGATCTATAGTTCCTTATTTGGGGAGAAGGCAATGAGTATTACTTGGGTATCCTATGAGACACAGCCTTAGTCACCTGCCTTCTTAAAGACACTCTTGGGACTAAAACCCATGTTTTCTGACTAAACTGGAGCTTGAGGGTTTGGTCCAGGAAATTGTTCTGCTGTCTGATGAACTTCAATGGTGGCTGTTATCCTTAGATCTGGATTAATGAGAATATCAATAAGAATACAAAAGCCTGGCTAAAGGATAAATAGGATATTTAAATTTTCCCTTAAGTGCACATTTCTCTCTGATGGATGCCCCTGCCGGTTGTAGTTTAATGGCTCTTTGCAGTATGATACAGAGTGTCCGTGAGACATGGCAGAGCACCACATGTGGAGGTCAGTAGAGCCATCATTTGCTGAATTATTCAAAAATAGAGTCAATATGGAGTCTTCTCTTCCTTAGGTAAATATGTGCAACCTGCTAGGAACTTCAGAATTTTAAATGTATTTATACTATGGCAGGAGAAAAATCTGGAATGTATACTTCCTTTGTTGACCGATAAGGCTTGACCATAACTATACAAATCCTGAAATCCAGATGCCATTCCCATTGCTTACTCTCACGTAGGAGCCGAAAACTCCTGCACCTTATGAAAAATGAGACTTGGAATCTAGTTTTACAGTGCAGTTAATTCAGGGTGTGTTCTCCAGCAAGTCACTTAACCTTTCTTGGAAACTGCCAATGAGAATAAATCCGGTGGTTTTTCTGAAAATCTTATCTGGAAGTAGTTTACTCTAAGGCAAAATAATTTTTCAGTGTTGGCCCTCTGCCGTTCGGACTTGCAAGCAAGACTTGGCCCCACTCTAATGAATGCCTCCTGTGTAAGCCAGAAAAACACTCATAAACTTGGTGTTCTGTCAATATATAGAACATGGCTTTGGGCTGAATATTTGCTGGGATGTGGTGGCTTTGAGCTGGACCCAGTGTTTCCCAGACGCCTTGCTGGGGAATGTTCTGGGACCGAGTCTCAAACACTAAAAGTTTTATGAATCTTGCCTAAACCCAATTTTCCCCTTCATACTTTGACTTAATTTGTTTGTTCATACTCCATTCCTATAAACGATGACCCATAACCTTTCATAAATGCATTTAAAATTGTACTGCTTTAGGGAATGATTATTTATTTACAAAGAGTTTTACCTACACATTAATGATTCAGAGAAGGCAAAATAAAGTGCAGTTTTTTAAAAAGGAAGAAAGACCACTTGATAAAAGAGTTTTCTTCTACCAGTATTAATAACTTAGTGATGCTTCCACCATAGGGCAGTTTAAGGGGCAAATTCTTAATGAGTGCTTTTGGATGATGAATGTTTGATTTAATTAATACATAATGTGGTTAGTTTTAGATCTCTTAAAATAACAGATGCCTTTTTAGGTATCATGAAAACAGAGGAGATAATGCATTTAGCCTTTAAATTCCAACTAGATAATATTTGCTACTACACATCCTCTCAAATTTGAAGACTTTCATCTTACACTATCACCTAGCAATAGTTCCATAAATAGTTAGGCCTAGATGATCCCCTCCCCATAGGTTTAAACTTTCTTTTATTGCCAAAATACCTAAACATGTATAAAAATAGAAAAGATAATATAATAAATCTCATGTATACATTACTCAGCTTCAACAATTATCAGCACATGGCCAATCTTACCCCTCCTAAATTCCTCAGTTCACTGCCCCTGGATTATTTAAAAACCAATCCCAGGAAAAGCCTGATGATTCCTAAAGTTCATTTCAGAATGAAAACCATGATTCCAAGTACATTTCCATATCTTATTGCTCCATATGATTATGACTGTGCATTTTCTATCCTATTGTGATGAAGGAACAGTATTTAAACTATAGAAATTAGGAAGATTTTGTTCTTGTTGTAAGCCAACTACAAACTGTGCCTATAAATTGCCACCAGTAGTCACAATTATAGTCATAGTACTTTTTACTTTGCTAGTCATGTACAAATTGTCTTGTGATTTTAATAACTTGGACTGAAAGTTAGCTATGTCCAATAAACTAGGATATGAAGAAGACGGAAAGATTCTTAATATTTTGCAGGTATGCCTTTACGAGAACTCCCTATTTACTCACCATCTATTATTGAGCTATTGGTAGTGGGACATTGACCATGTTTTTTTTTCAATAGATTACTTTCGTAGTGTGAGTCCCCACAAGAAATGCTCTTGGGTACTAGGACACTCTAACAAGTATCAGAATAAACACTTAATTATAGAGTTATATTCCAAGAAAATACTTTATGGAGGGCTTCTGGTCACTTAGCATTTAAGACATTTATTGTGGGGCTGGGGATTTAGCTCAGCAGCACAGTGCCTGGCTGGCAAGCACGAGGTCGTGAGTTCGATTCCTGATACTGGAAAAAAACAAACAAACAAAAAAGATACTTATTGCTTTAATTTTAATGTTTATTTATTTAGCTGCTGTTAGCTTAGTGATTATTTTTAACTTTGTATATTGCCAACTCAAATCCTGAAGTTTCAAATTTTAATTTTGAAGCATTTTAGAAAAAAAAAAAAAAAGATTTTCTAGACAAAACATTTGTACTTTTCTGTGAGTCTAAGCATTTAATATACTGATTTCTTGTGGCGTAGTATTTGTTAGCTTGACTACCTGGCCTTTGTTTTCATTCCAAAACAATATTGTTTGACTTATAAAATTCTAGAAAGTAGAGGTCAAATCTCTTTAACTCATTTTCTACAGCAGGGCTTGTAAATAAACACCTACTGAATGCTTTTGATGATGAAATGAAAATGACTGTGACCTCTGATTAATCCAGTCGAAATACCATGACCTCTTGGGACTTAAGAACAAGAGATGAGTGGGGCTTCCTGCACAGTTCGTCACGACTGAGGTGAGACTTTCTCCTTCATGCCTGAGTTCTCGCTCAGGTGCGAGGAGCAGACTGGGATGGGAAGGAGTGGAGAGGTCAGACTCAGGAGTCCTGCAGACCCCAGGTCACCTTATTAGCCATGTGACCTTGGCTTCTAGACCTTGGAGATTTGCTGACCTCTCTTAATTTTTCTTTGTTTCTCTGAAAGACCCATACCATTTTATAAAACTATCACCATTTATAAAACAATGTCAATAAATAATACTTAAATTGAGGGATTATTGTAAGGATCAAATGAGAATTTTTCAGTGTAAACACAGAAAGTTCTCAATAAAAAAGTTGATTCTTACTACCCTCTAGTGTATCTCCATCTTTTTATTCACAAATTATTTTCAGCTGGAGCCAGCCTAAATCCCTCAGACACGTGAAGTCATTCCAGTGCTTTTGATTTGGGTAAGCTCCTATATACTTGACTATTTTGAGGAGAATATTTTCCTCCTAATTTTTATAGCATTTCATATTTTTCATAGTTTATTTCAATGACATCAGAACACATGGCCTTGGCAGAAAAGTTATATATTTTCCTGAATCCTTTATAATTATGTGTTTTTCCAAAACACTAACACCAATGGTGGTTAGTGAGGTTGAAATAGAGTTTCATTTTGGTCAGTCCTGTAGTGAGGAGTTGTGTATAAAAAGGTGGCCACAAGAATTAGCTTGGATATGAAGGCAGTTTTTCTTTACAAAGAAAACATACAAGAATAATCTTTGCCAGATGTCAAGAAGTCATTACACATACTTAAATATCGAAGCATCTCCAGAGTATATCATTTGGTGAAAACAGTAGAGTACAAAACAATGTAGAAGCAGTTCCAATATATGTTTAGAAAAAAGATACAAAAACTTAGATACATATAGGAATGTGGTCACATGGATAAGTTTGTATAAGCCTAGACTATTTCTTGGAGGATTTATAAGAAATTGTCTATGATTACCCTAGAGAGAATATCTAAAGATTTATGTTAGATGAGAGACATTTCATTACATATTTTTGGCACATGTTAACTATTTTTATCAGTATATATTTTACACTTTAAATAAAAGTATAAGAATTACCACCATCACCATGGTCATTTATTGAATCCTACTCGTTGTACTTAATGTACTAGGCTTTATATGCACATAAGCTAATGTTCACAAGCATTTTGCAAGATGAGCAGAAGTTTTATGGCTTGTACAACTTTGCAGAATAAATAATGGAAGCCGCCCTTTTTTTCTTTGCTTTTAACTAGAGTTTTTAGAAATCTATAAACTATGCCCGGCAGTATAAGCATTGTATTCTCTACCACATCGAAAATGAAAAGAGTGTTTTCAACTGCAATCTCAAATCATTAGGATTACAGATTCTGTCAGTATCTATCATTGCTGTGGTTTCACTTAAAGCAGAGTCTTAAAATAATGTCTTTAAAAATCCATGTTTCTTTTTACCTAATAGGACAAGCCTTGTCATATAATTCATTTTCTGCCTTCAAAACTTTAACTGGGATTTGCACCAAATCCAGCAGATTTCCTGACCGAATGTGTGATGCCATTGGTTAAGAATGCGCTGCTGCAGTTTGGCTTCTGGAAACATTATAATCACGGTGTCAGAAATCATTACTTCTCTTGGACTCCACCAGGTGCTCTCCACCTATCAGTGACTTCAGCGAGCACTGTTACTTATATGTTTGCATACAAGATCTGGGGATGTCCGTTCTGTTGGCCTGCTATAAACGCCATGGTGGGGTTTGAGTTTTATTGGAACTGTGACCGTGTGGATTCTTCCACGACTTAAACAGGATGGAGCACACTGCATGAGTGAAGTCGAGTTCATAAAAAGAGTTATTTCTCACCACACTTGTTCCACATGATTATTCAGGGCATTAAGCTTATGCCTAATTGTAATAAATCTGCTTTTCCATTCCTTTGTATCTGGGAGAAAAACAAAAGTGCTTTAAGTCTCATTTTGTGTATTTAAAATCGATTGTGTATTTAGCACCTACTGAATCTGTGAAATACAGCTATAACATTTGTACTGTGTGGCCTTTCAGATGCCTTCTAAAGAAATAGTTCTCCCCAGTGTTTCTCTCTTTATTGAAAGAGCTATATAAGCCATGGCTTTAGAAATTATAAATAAACCACTTTCCTCTCTCTGGAATGTCAGCCCTAAGAACAATATAAATTTACTCCGTTCCTTTTTAACGAGGGTTCAAATCTTATTTTCTTTTGTTATAAATTGGGGAAAAGGATAAATAAGAACATTTAAATTTTGATACCGATTTTAATGCAGGAGGCAACTTTCAAAATTATGTATAATGTGGCAGGATATGGTGGGGTACGATTGGAGGTCTCTTTTTCTTTTTTGAGGACTGGTACATTTTACTTCTTCAGCTCTATCCAGAGCTTGAAAACATTGTGCTCTCCTCTGTCAACCCACTTTTCCTTTTCCTTTTCCCTTTTCTCTCTTTGACCATTCTCCTTTCCTCCCTTCCTCGCTTAGAAAAGGCAAGCGGCAATCTGAGACTAAGGCGTTTCAAATTACCTCCCTCCTCACGAATCCTCACCAGGCTATCATTTGGCTCACAATGGCCACACTGCTAGATTCTTTTGATAAAGCACCAAATATCCCAGATAAAATCTAAATCTTTTGCCTAAAAAGAATCCTGCTATTTACCAGAGCACTGCCCATACAGTACAAAGATAGAGAAAGTTTCCCGGGGTCAGGGGATGAAGAAGAATGGGAAACCCTCCTGGGAAGTCCTGGACATCTGGGCAGCCCAGGAGTAAGTTTTGGAGAGATGCTTCCTGTGAAAAGAAGGATAAGCAGAAAACAAAAAGAGATTTTGACCTTTACTGGTATGTTTCCTGAGAGCAGAATTCCTAAAATCTCTGGAATGAGTCATCATTTAATTTTTTAAAATTATCAAATAAATATGAAAGGCACTGTTCCGATCATTCTTTTTTCTTCTGCTCAAAACTTAGGAAGAGAAGACTGTTTAGGTGGCACTAGTTATCCTTCTTAGAATGAAATTGCGTACCGTAAAGAATGATATTCACTGCAAACTGGGTAACAGAAGAGTCAGAGGATAAAATCTATCAACATAGCTTAGAGCAAGCTACAGGAGAGAAGTTCTAAGCTTCGAAACAGTATGTTGCAAGATTAGAGAAAGTGCTGTCTCATACATCTATCTAGTAGGTTTGACAATCGTGGCTACATTCCTTAAAAAAAAAATAAAAAGTTCAGCCACTTACGCTGTTTAAATTTAATTTATTGTTATATGTGGAGATGGCTTCAGGAGCCTCAGGCAAAGTTTTGAAGACAAGGGGGATAAATGCTGAATCTTAGAAATTTCTGCTTTCTTTAAAAAGTTTTTTTTTTTTTTTTTTTTTTTTTCCTGGTACCGGGAATTGAACTGACGACCTTGCACCTGCCAGGCAGGCGCTGTGCCACTGAGCTAAGTCCCCAGCCCCTAAAAAGTATTTTTTAAAAAAATGAAAAAAAAAAAAATGCCCAAACACATGAAAGGCTGGTATCCACAATATTAGCTACAGCAAATACTGTGGGTTTTTTTTTTTTTTCTTTTCTTCTTAAAATTGCTGTGGCATATTAATTCTGAGGCAGATCCAGCTTAGTATTCAGTTTGACATGTTTAACCAAGTGTGAACTGGGTAATTAAAATTGTAAACAGGATAAGACATACTGCCTAACTTTCAGAGTAATTTTATCGTTCTCTATCCAGGGCAGTGAACATCTGCGAGGCACTGTGTGGTGGGTTTTCTGCTCACTGGAAGCGAGGGACAGTGGTGTCAGTAAGATGGATGGTTAGGCATAGACCTCGTCAACTGACCATTCCACACGCAGAGATTATCAAAGAGGAGGAAAGGACCGGCAGGAATGGGCAAGGCCAATACTCCCCCGCGTCCTTCAAGCTTACCTTGGCCAGTTGCTCGTGAATCTCCAGCAGGCTGGGTCTGTTGACCTTGGGCCCGCTGACGCTGCCGGTGTTACGGTAGTACTCAATCTTCGGAACCGCATCCATGGTATTGTGGCCAAAGGTTTGTAGGTAGTATGTGTTTGTGTGGGAATCGTAGGCGTGAAAACTGGAGTCTGTTTTAGCAGTTTCTCCATTTTGCAGGAAATTGTCATAGCATTCCTGATTGCCGGGCCTAAAGCTGATTCTCAATCTGCTCTGGGTTTCGTCCCCAAAAGAAGTCTCCTCATAGTGGGGCGGGTCGCTGTCATCATTAGCAGCGGTACAGCTCTCCTGGCCCTCGCTTATGACATTAACTTGAAAGCGACTGGTAGTACTGGGCACCGAATCCAGAAATATGTTGGCAGAGTTATTCAATGACATCTTTCAAAATAGAATCTCTGGACTGAGCTATCTACCTTTTAATAACCTTATGGTTATTAAAAAATCTATATATTTCTGCCTGGAAACAAACTTTAATGTGATTACATTAGGGAGCTCCTGGCTTTTGTCCTAGATGAACTCAATAAATAGATCCTTGATATATTGTCTGCTATATAATCTTCAGGATGGTCTTCAAAGCTGTCATCGAAAAAGAAAATTAAATTTGTTTCAAACAATACAAAGACATGTATGTAAGGCTAGAGTATGAGGGAACAGTTTTCCTTTACAAGACATACAATTATAAGTTAATTTCACTGAAAACTATGTATCTAGTGACCTTAGTCACTTGAGCAATTAAATCCTATAACAAATAATTGGGGCCCTGCTCCAGCAAGCAGAATTTCCAAGGGAGTCATTGACATGTTACTGTGTTTGTGGTTTTGCTTGGATTCTGTGTAGCTGGAGTCAGTACAACTTTTGGAGAACATAGAACTCCTAGTGACTGCATACAGTTAGAATGGGTGAGAATATTCCCAGCCTGAAACGTAACTCACTGACAGAACCAAATGCTGAAACTGCAAAGTATTTTTATGATCGATAGGCACATTCATTATAGGATAATAAAATGAAAACTGAAAACTTCTTTTAGAATGCGTTCATGCTACTTTATGAAAATCTATACATAGTCAAGTGATGGATTTTTAAAGAAATATTTGTTACCTATGCAACAAGTGAAAAATTATTTTAGAATGTTAAATTAAAAAATGCAACCCATCAAAATGATGTTTCTATAAATTCTTGGCTCTTCTAATAACCTTAAAAATGTTTCATTTGCTTTCTTTCTGTATGTATGTATACATATATATAGTAGCATATATATATTGCTTTCTATGTATACTATATATATATATAGTAATATATATATTACAAATGCTATAAAAGAACCTTTAAAAATACATGAGCATTTGGGATAAGGAGGTAAGTTATCCTTTAATAAAGTCTATGCTATTTTTAGATAAGATAACCATGCCCTTAAGACTTTTTTTAATGAAATATTCTCAGTAATTGAGAGGTTTACATTTGATTGTGAGATGAATAGACACACAGCAATATTCACAATTTCACAGTATTAGCCCATCTTGAAACACTTTCTTTAGAATCATATTTCTTCATTGATACCTTAAAAATTTGGGTTTTCAAAGAAAGTTCTAGAAACATGAGATAAATCTAGACCAAAAACTTGCCTCTGTCATATTATTATTGAAGCTATTTCTTTGACTAAAATGAATCCCAATTTAAGCTTTTAAATAACCTTTCCTGGTGAAATTATAAGTGAAGCTATTACCTTCTGATGTTTTACGGAGCACCTCACGTTTCCTCATAGCTCCTTTATTTCACTCCTCAAAATCTACTTTATGGCACAGTATTAAGTGTGGTTTTCTCTTTCCCCAGGAATGTTTAACTTACCACCAGGACCTTGCTTCCGAGGAAGTGTGACCTACAGCGCTGCCCAGGCATATATGGGGCACTTACCTTTCAGCCCAGGGCAGTAGGCGTCTTCATATTGGTTAGAATTTTCCTTGAAAGAGATGACTTTGCAGTCATTGGCCTGGCAGAGTGCTAGAAGTCCCGCCCAGTCATTAGCTCTGAGGAAACTTTAAGTACCACATCAACTAGTAACTACTAGTAAATCATTAATCCTTTCAGACAGGATATAAAATGAAGTTTCTTTAATTCATAAGGAGAATTAGATTGCTCAACAGCAATCTTTCAAGAAAATATTGCTTTAGTCTTTTGGGGCTGGGTAAATTGAGCCGCACGGTCTTATTAATGGGGAGTTCTAGAGACTGCCAGTTGTTCAGACAGATGCTAAAATATAGTCCTCCAGCAATAACCTCAGTATTGAAGAACTAGAAAATGGCATCAGAAGTTATTTTATCTTTAATTATTTATTAAATCTTGCCTTGACTCTACTCTGCCTGGGAAATGAGCAGTTAAGAGAAGAATCAATGATTTATAGAGAAGATTTCTACCTGGTGAGAAAACAGTTTCAGGCAGGAATCAAGCCGAAGCACATTCCCCAGTGGCACTACTAAATGACCCCTTTGTCTCCAACTGGAAAGACATTTTTATCAAACTTAGTTTTTGAGTTTTGCTGACAAGGTTTTGCTCAAATCTGTGAGTCGGTGATTATTAAGCCAGCACAAACAATCCCTCCTGCAGGTTCTGTCATTGGTTTTCAATCAGGATGATTGAACGAGTCCTCCTCCTGTCTAACAAGAAACTGCCCAAGTGATTTCCAGTTGCACTGGTAGCTTGGTTGTGGTGCAATATAGAAGTTGCGAGTAGACTCTGGAGCTAGATTCCTTGATTTATATTCTGGCCCTGCTGTTTCCTGTGTGAACTTGGGCAAGTTACTCAGTCTCTTTGTTGCCTTCGTTTTCTCACCTGCAAATGTAGTTGTGGATGATCGTGGTACTGACCTTCCAGAATTTTGTGAGGATTACATGAGTTAATTTGTTTTAGCATTTAGAACAGCACCAGCATACACACAGTCCTTACTTTTGCTATTGTAGCAGTATTCACAATTGCCTTGTGACTTATACTTAGTTACATCTGAGGTTCTGAGATCAGTCACTAGAATTTGGATAGGTATTCTGCCCATTAAAACCGGAAAAGGTTAACTGATGAGCCGATATAGGATTATAGAAAAGGGTATGGAGACACTTAAGTGGAAACCCTTGAGTCCTCCTAGGCAGTACATGGCATGTTACTTATGTTGATGTCATGAGGTTATACCCAAGACACAGAGAATTACAGAGGTGTCTTTATCACTCAATTTTCTCTTAAAGGCTACCAATACAAGGCACTTATCTATTCACCCAAGCACTCTAATTTCTACATAGAAAGCCTTTAGACACAGACATTAGACACATTTCAGGTTGGAAGTGAAGCTGGCTATTTCAATTGGGTCTGTGGCCAATTAGCATGAAGTTGGAAGTCAAAATAAGGTCTAGTCATTGAACCAGGACAGGAGCTTGAAGTGACATTGCCCAAACCCTACTGCTTTTACTCTGCCAAAGGCTGTGAATGCTTCCAGTACCAGTTCTTTGCTGCCTGCCTGTCTGACTACAGTATAGTGTGAATTAGTTTTAGTCTTGGTCTTACATCAACTAGATGTTTTCATTCTAAGGCTTTTATCTCTAACAGTGAAATGAAAGTCTTTGCTCTTTATTAAGGGAATTTAGAACTTCTAGAGCAGAGGGGAGATGGTTTGGGGGATATGGACAAAATTACACCATCCATAAAGTTGACCTTGAAGGGTGAACCTCATTCAGGCCTTTCAGAGAGGGGAGCAAGGTAATGGGAGCAGTGCACCTCTGTCTTTTCTCCTGCTCTCCTGGACAAGGCTCTTGGGAAGGAAAGGCGGGGGTGGGTGGGTGGGTGATGAGAGTATGATATTGGAATCCTGTGGAGGACCATCTGAGAAGAGCAATTATCTCCATTTTAGCTAAACCTCATCCTATTTCCATGTGTTGATATGTACAAAGCTGGCTTTTCCTTGTTCTTTCAGTTGGCTTTAAGCAATGCAAATCAGTTCAGCCGAGGTGCTGATGTGTAGTCTTTGGAGCAAAGATGACAGGGCAGTGTTCCGCCCCCACTTGTAGCTCCCAAATAAAACATGTGTGAGCTGAGGCAGGATGGGGTGCTGTGCTCCATGCTGTTGGCTGGGATTGAGCTTCAAGAGGCTATGACTTCCCACATCATAAAAGATTATACATCAGAGCTGAAGCACCTACCCCAAAACATTAGATATTACCTCAGTTGTGTCATGCAGATTACTTTTTCTGCATATCCTTCTCTCTGCATATGGCAGAGGTGATTTCAGGCCTCCTACCTAGCCCAGCTCACAGCACTGATGTACTTCCCACCATTCTCACAGTCACTCAGCCTCAAGCCACTCCTTTCTTCACAAATTAAGAAAACCTGGGTTTGGCTTTGGGTTGAGGCCTTTGTTCTGGATAGCCGTCACCATAGCTGGACTTAGGACCCCTTGACTCCCCATAAGTACAAATATGCCTTAGTGTCTTTATTCTCACCATGGGTGCATTGGGAGTGGTAGACTGGAATTAACTCACTACAATTCCAATAATTTTTCCATGGGATTACAAATATGAACTTCCTGGGCCATGACAAGGACTGGGAAGGGCTCTCTGTAGAGTCTAACACTGAAAGATGAGCATTTCATAAAATGTCCATGTTATATCCATTCTATAGCCAGCCTTTTGAACTTGGATAGTTATTACACTTTTCCTAGCTCTGAATATACAGGTGATGTCCCTGCTCTGCTGCCCGTAAAGCAAATGTAAGGCATACATTAAGCCATGAATAAAAGCTATAGTTGTTTAGATCTGGTCTTGGGACATGGATGAAGCCATGAATGAAGACACTTTTGGTTACCAGACTTTCTCTGTGAATAATAGAGTAGTGGAGTTGTTATCTGAAAATGCTCAGACTTCATAAATATCTGTCTTTCAGCTTTTTGAGACTTACTTTTAAAAAAAATAAAGACCTGATTCTGCTATATTCTAGTTATCAAAGTGGAGAATCTTGGTGGGTGTTTTACCTGGGAGATAAACAAAACACATGGTACTTGGAGAGCACCTTAAAAGCCAGGGTTACCACAAAGATGTCTAGTGCCCTGACATATACAGTCATGAGCAATTCAGCTCAGTTCAGCTCAGTGATGTCCCCTTAGGCCAATTATTGGCTAGTTACAGGGTGTTCCAGGCCTGCTTTCTTGTACAGCAGGAGGAGAGAGACCCCTTGAGGTGAAAGTTTTGCCCAGAAAAGTCACAACCAACACAGATGTGTTCTAAATCTACTAAGAGATGGAGAGTGTGAGGGAATCTTATGGCTATGGCCAGTTTTGGAATTACGTAGTCCGGAGGGGCCACCATGTTGGTAAGATGTGGCAGTGTGGAGGACAGTATCAGGGAGTACAGAGCATGTCAGGCCATCCAGGTTCAATTCTAAACACAAGCATCCTGAGCTTGGTGACCTTGGGGAGTTACTTAATCTTTTGGACTCAGTTCCTCATGCGTGAAGCTGAGATAAAATGGAAATCATAGCCCCAAATTCAAAAGAATTATAAGGGTATCATAGAAATGGAAAGCACCTAATTTAATGCTTTCAGTAAGTATTAGTCTTACTTCTTCTTGGCATGTTTGGCTGTTCTGCAGTCCAATGTACCATAAGTATTTTTGTGTTTATTTATTCCTTTCTACATCCCCCTTCATCCAGTGATCATAGAGAATCAGAACTGTGTAGCTGGAAAGACCTTTGAGATAATATAATTCTATCTTTCTGCTTTTTAAATTATGAGAATGAAGACTGAGGAGATTGAATAACTTATACAAAGACATTACTTCTTAGAGTTGGGGAAATTCTTTTGCTATATCTTGAAGAAGATACTATATAATGACAGCACAATATGTATTAATGCTATTTTAGGGTTTCCAGCATGCTGACACATTCATTGTATCTCATTGTTCTTCCCAACATTCTTGCAAGATAGGTAGGCTGCGTGTCCTGGCCTTGTTTTGGAAATGTGGAAAGTATATTGTCTCTAGATAACTTTCTAGACCATAAAGCTAGTTCTTGCATGGGACCAAAATCAGATTCAAATCTCTTGAATTTAAGCAACTAGTCTGAAAAACTTCTCATCACACTTTAAGTCTTTATTCTTGGATCTCTGTAGCATTTTTAAGGCACTGAAGTTCACAGAGATTAGATAACCTGCCCAAGATTGCATAGCTAACTAATGGTGTCAGAGCTGAGACTGGATTTTGTGTTCTGGGAAAGTTCTTTTTCCACTGTGTTGTGGCAGAAATCCCCCCTCTCCATGCTGTTTATGTAAGCCATGGTGAAGGGTATTAGTCTAAGGCAGGTCTAGTTTGGATCTCAAGAATTCTTGGATCCAAGTATTTTATTACAAGAGACTCTACCAGAAAAAGCAGAAGGGTCAGGGCTTTGTGTATATTGAGAATCTTGGTTTTTTTGAGACAGGATCTCACTATGCAGTTCAGGCTGGTCTTTTTCTTTTTTCAGTATGTTTGAGATAAGGTCTCGCTATGCAGTTCAGGCTGGCCTTGAGCTCACTTTGTAGCCCAGGTTGGCCTCGAACTCACAATGATCCTCCTGCCTCACCCTCCCCAGTGTTGGGATTATAGGTGTGCACCACCACGCCCAGCCCCAGGCTGGTCTTGAACTCACTTTGTAGCCCAGGCTGGCCTCAAACTTGCAATGATCCTCCTGCCTCAGCCTCCTGAGCGCTGGGATTACAGGCATGTCCACCACTCCTGGCTCAATATTGAGAATCTTTAGATTATGTGGATTTGGGGATTTGTTTTATCTTGTTTTTTGTCCTGAGAAGCTTTTGGACCTATGGCTGTTCTTTAAAAACTCATATTGGCCTCCATGGCTCAGGGATTGAGCACTGGTCTCATAAAAAGTAATGTTCTGTTTGTTCTTTGGACTGAGGGTCCCTCATGTTTAAGACCTAATCTGATAAAGGAAGAGCCGTCAGGAGTCTGGACTGTGGAGAGAGTGCCTGAGCTGTGCTGGGAGGGGAAGCAGGATGCTGCCTGCACAGTCATTAACATCAAAAAAGGAGTAGCAACTCAGAGCAGGAAAGAATAGAATGGTTTCCATGGCTGGAGCCAAGTTTATGCTGCTGTTTCATTGGAAACTCCACATAGGGAGAAAGGGGTGAAGAATCCCAACAACAGGTCATCATTTACACAAGACAGTGGATAAGTCAATCACAGACGTTTATTGAATTGGGTGAATGAAATGAGTCCCTTTCCAGCATACCCAAAGTAATCACAAAAATAACCCCTACATGTCCCACGGGCATCACCATAACAAGCGTAAAGCTGGAACTCTCACGCAAGTGCGTATTCAAAGGTCCCTTTGTCAAACTCTTCAACTTCATCTTCCCATGTAGAGGAAGGCATGCTACTATATGGGTCTAGCAGAATTTTGAAGCATCTGATAATAAGAAGTCCCAAAAAGATACATAAAATCCCAACGAAAGCAAAGCCAGTTTTTTGCTCCAGAGTCAGTGAGAAAGCGGAGACTTCGTTGACGCTCATCTTAGCTGAGGAATTGCCACAGTAGGTACTACTCATCATTCACGGGTACATGCTTGTGGCTCTTCAGAATTCCTGCTGGCATCAGCGCTTGACCTAGGTGCAAAATCGGACTCAGTTTAGTGTTACCCTGGTATGGTATTGGGCAGGAAGTTGTTTCATAAAACTCTGGTATCGTTTCCAATTCTCTTGGCTTCACTCACAGAAGGTGATGGAAAACATCATCAGGTATGGATCAGAACCCAACCACACTGGAGGTGCTCCTTTCCTGTGGCAGCTACAGAATTACCTTGGTGGGCATATAAAGCTGCCTACATGATCTAAATATAAAATCAAATGTGAAAGTGAATATTCAGCCAATTAACCCTAAAAGTCTTTGCGTCATTGCTAGGTTATTGCTGATACTTCTTTGAACCTGCTTCTAATTTTCACTTCCTTTTTGCACGTGTAGCTAATACTGTGAATATGCATAGAGTACATGCTGTTTGAAGTCCTTACCATAAGGACCATCTCCAGTGCCATCTTACCTGATATAAATGGATTCTTTTAGACAGGTGTAATGCCTTCTCTCTTCTCACTGCTTCAGCTTTTATACTTATGTACTTGCATTTTTCCCCTATGGCTGACACACTAAATGTGACTTTGTTAAAGAAAGACATCGTGTCTTTTAAAGATGAAAGATTTATGTGATCGGAAGAGGAACGAGAGTCTTGTGGTTTTAAAAATTATGCCAATACCCAGCGATGCCCAACGCAGTGCCTTGTGAGAGGCAGCAGCAATAGTTGTGGGCCCTCAGTACCTCCCTGCTACCTCCATTAGTTCTCAGATTCCCGTAAATAACAGAAAATCCCAGGCAAACAGCATGGTTTAGCTGCAAGTTCAGCTTCAAGGTCCCCAGATCCTCTCCTACCGGATTTCCAACACAACCCCTTCTATATTGAGATTCTAAAAATACAGTTAAAATGTTCAGAAAGTATGTGCCAGACTGAAGCAAAACAGTTTTCTTCCATCTGATGTATCAAGAAGTTAAATTAATTTATCATTGTAAAAATAAAACTAGCTAATTAGATCAAATGATCACTAATATATGACCCATAATATACAGGAATTCTTCTTGAAAGGACCGCCATCAATAGCTTGCCATCCTGTAACTGAGAGTGATAGCCTTAGTGTTTTTCTTCTTGTTAGTATTTCTTCTGATCATTTTCCAAAATTATGTTTATTTTAAATAACTAGCCTTTGAGATTATTTTGGACCAAGTGTTCAGAGAAGAATAGAGACAGTAAAAGGTAGAAAGCAAGGGGTAAAGAAAGTAACTACAAGTCTTACAGCTTTTAGAAATATTTGGTAACTAATGTAATCAATACCAATCCATATTGTATTTTATAATGGTTTGGGTTACAAAAGAGCTACATTTGTACTTATATTTGGTAGAGATAGTCAGTACATTCTAGGATATGCTAGTTGGAGATTTTGTTGTTCTTTAATAAAATCGTTTTAAACTGCTTTGTTAAATTTCTTTCCATCAAATCAAATCATCTTTATGCCCTAATAAATAAGGGTACAGTGAATTTAAGTTTTTAGTGTCTCGTAAGTGGCTCAGAGTGATCTTTCTGAAGATTGAGTTCCTGTATTATTTATCCTGTAAAAGGCATAGGAGAGTGGACTAGCTAATGACTCTGAAAATTGACCAAGAGCTTTTTTCTGGCTAAGTTTCTACTTTTCTTGTTTTTGTCAATTAAAGTTCATTTGTTGAGATACCTCTGTACCCTGGTCTATTTGTTTAATGGGTGGAAAAGCTAAAAAGCAGAATGTTTCAACTGGGAGATGTTAGACCAAGCTTGGGTCATGTAGCTGATTGATTTGGGCAAGTCACTTGTTTTAATTGCTTTTTTATTTTTACTAGAGCAAAACATTGCTAGGCTTTGAAAACATCTGATTTTTCACAGATATATGGGTGACAGGAGGAAATACACTTGGCTCATGGTAGATATTGTGGTATGCCCAGTGGGTTTCCTCTAGGAAGGTCTTGCTGCCTGGTAACTGGGAATGCTGTAGCTGTCAGCTTATTTCAGGGACAGCTGCAGTTGCAGACAACTGCCTCACCCAAGGTCATGACCCTTCCCAGGGAAGGTCATATTCCACCAAGGTGATTGCATGCGGATGTGGCAGTCTGGACTCAAAAGAAGGCAACACTTCAGCTCTAAAGGTCCACATGGGGTCAGCTGAGCTGTGACTGGGTTCACACCACAGCTCAACTTCTGCCGACACCTGCTTGATTCTCCACCCTCGTGCAGATGTTGGGCCAAGGTCATTCTTTAATAACCAGGGGACACACTAAACTCTGTCTCAGAGCCTGGTTTTGGGGGGCCTACAGCTTACAACAACTGGCATCACAAAAGTTAACACACCTGGAAAATTTTAATAAGCTGTTCATTTCTGGTGAGTTCATTTTGCCAACAGATAGAAATAGTTTACACTGATTATAGCTAGAATATTAGCTAAATTTACCTAGATTTTTAAAAAATCATAATATAGATACATATATGGTCATAGCTTGCCCCTGGAGGAATTAAATCAGTTGTTTCTTGGCCAATAGTTAAACCATAATATTCTGTTACAGTAAGTAACACCAACCAACCCACACCACCAACCAACCAACAACCAACCAACCAACAAAGAGAAGTGTTGTCTAGATGTAGCAGAGAATACCCACCCCATATGTCTCTTAGAAAACAAGTTATCTTCCTAGTTAGGGTTAGGGTTAGAGTTAAGGTTAGGGCTATATCAGCTAATGGTTTGTGCTTAGAGTCTTAGGCAATATGTGAAATAGCAGAAAAAATAACTATTTCTAAAGTAGTTACCCTATTTCCTGGCATATTATGGGTGTCTAATAAATATCTGAGTTGAATTAAACTAAATATGTGGGAGAATATAGTTTTTGATGAGTGAAGTAATTTTTTAAAAATCCAGTTTTTAAGTATACAGAAAATATGAAAATATATTTAGTTAAAATTAAATGAATAAGAAAACTTGTATTTGATTTCAAAAGGTGCTGTTGAAGATTGCTACAAAAATTCAATTTCTCTTTTAGTGTTTTGTGTTTGTGCTTTTTACTATTAAATTGGTCACTGTAGTGTTCCCAGAAAAATTCATATGATTTTTAGTGTTTTAAGTAGAGAAAGTGGATCTTTCTTAACATCTTTGTGAGGTTTCTAAGAAATGGTATAGTTATCATATTATTTTGACATTAATCTACACCTGGAAGTTCAGAGTAAATTATGTATTCATTTGCAGTGACTGTTACATTAATATTTCTGATGTAATTATCCTTTCCTCCTCTGTCCCTGTTCTCTATTTTACATGAATGTTATGTTACCCAAGAAGGTTATTATAAGATACTTCGAAGGCTTTTGGCATCAGTTAGGGGAATGGAAAAATGAAAAGATATATAAAATCACTTAGTTGATTAGTAAAATAATTACTTTTTAAGTTCCTTTAAGGAATAGACAGATGACCATTATATAACATTCAATAATTTATAACTACTCTATATCTCTATTATTGGTATAAATATAGAAAAAATGCAGTGTAAACATGGAAAATGCTGAAAAGTGACAAAAAACTTTAGTGAGGTTGTCAGATGGATTTAAGGTAACAAATATTTCTCAAACATATTCATTAAACAAATATATAGAGAGTATCTGTTTTGTGTGGTATTATCCTCGGTGCTACATAATTGTGACTGATAACAATGTATCTGTAATACTGGGTGCTACATCCCAGTAGAAGAGCTACACACAATTATTTTAAAATGTCTAACTCTATTCTATGTGTATACATATTTGTATACATATATTATACCAGGCAATCAAAATTATACAACCTGTGAAAGAAAAGTAAGTGAAGAAGAAAGAGAATTATAGTAGACTAAAGGTACTCTTTTCATTTATGAGATTAGCAAAAGCTTCCCTAGGGAGAAGATATTTGGCCAGGAGCTTGAAAAATGTCAAAGATAAATCCATGAAAATATCTGGGGGAGAAACGAAGTTTGAGGAAACTGCCACTGCAAAAGCATTTAAGCAGAAGTAGGAATTTTATGTATGATATGTTCAAATCAAGAAACTGAATTAAAAGATTAAACCCTTTATTTGTATAAGATGGTTCAATGATATCAAAGGACAAAGAAAAAACTATTTAATCTATTTTTGTTTTTTTAAGCAATATAGGATCATCTTTAAAAATAATGGAAAAATCAAACAATATTATTAGTGATAAGAATGTAGAAGAATAATGTTTAGACATATGAAATGAGTTAAAATTCCTAGAATCCGAAAATTTATTACTTGCACCTTTCAGAAATCACTGACCAGGAGACTGCTGTCAGGGGTAAGGGCATAGACAGACAAATGTTTCCATTTTCAGGAATAGTGGGGAATTGTGAAAAATATATATTGACGATGTACAATTAATCTCTATTTAATAGCTAATTTGTCAACATTTAAGAAGTCATTAGAAGTTGACATGAGTGTACTGTAATAAGTAATGCCACACTAGATGTCCATTGCTATAGCAAAATAACTGAAAGAATCAAATTTAAGGGAAGAAAAATTTATTTTGGCTTACAATTTCAAAAGTTTCATTTGGTGGTTGCTTGGTCCTGCTGCCTGGGGCCTGTGTGAGGCGGTACGTCATGGTAAGGACATGTGGCATAGCAGGACTTTTCATCTCATACAGGCCATGCAACAAAGAGAGAGGGAGAGGAAGGGGCTGTGGTCCTCTTTCCGATGAGCGCCTACAAGACCCCATGTCCACAAAAGTTCCACCACCTCTCAGTAGTGCCAGGGACTGTGACCACGCCTTCAATGCATTTGGCCTTTGGTGGACATTCCAGATCCAAACTGTAGCAAATGGGAGATTCCCTTTCAGTTTTGAAAATTTACTACTAAAAATGAATCAGGGAAATAGCACGGAATAGTTTAATGTTTTTGGCAATGCATTTAACAGCTTCCCATGATATGCTTGTCAGGAAGATGTGAACTATGCCTGGATAATTGTATTTTTATGCAGATTCATAGTTCACCAAACTACTCTACCTTCCATGTCATAACCATGGAGATAGTCCTGCAGGGTCCTAAAGATCTAACTTTATCTATGTGCTCTGCAGGATTTTCAAACTGACTAAGCTGAAGTGACTATGTGATGACTATTAAACATGGCACAAAGTTATATGGCGGCTAACAGAATCAACATTCAAAACAACTCTGATAACTAGATTTCTCTACTGAAACTAGAACATAAAATTTAATATAAATATATTTCCAAAAGTCCTATGTCTAAGTGAGAGAGAGAGAGAGAAAGAGAGGGTGATATACCAACCTCTAATATGAGAGACATGACTTGGCAGTTTACCTGAAATAAATCTGCAGGTTATAATTAATGAATAATTGCTGTACATCAAAGATGTGAGTTGTGCTTTGAAAAGCGAAAGCTGCCCTAAATTGAATGGAATGTAAGTGACAAAGACTAGTAATGCCAGCATTATGTCTCAGTTAGATACAAAGTAATATATATTCACAATACTTTCACCAAAAAACATTTATTGCATTGCTACTATGTTCTTTTAGACACGACCCCGTTTCTTCAAAAAGATTCCAACTAGTAAGAGGGAAGAACTATGCTCAAAAGGAATAAAACAATGTAGGGTTTTATGAAGGAAATAAAAGAGAAAGAGGAAATGAACTTGTATTCAATATCCCCCGTGTATCAAATAGTGCTTTACTTATATTATTTTGTCATCACAGCAACCATATGGAGTTGGTATTATTATCTCTAACATCTTGATGAAAAATCTTCAAAGAGGATAAGCAAATTTAAAGGCAATAGATATTTCACCCATTTGGGGATCAGGAAATTTTCTCTTGCAAAAGATTGTATTTGAACTGAATCTTTTTTTTTTTTTTTTGAGACAGGGTGTTGCTATGTAATTCAGGCTGGCCTTGAACTCACTAGATAGCCCAGGCTGGCCTTGAACTCGTGGCAATCCTCCTGCCTCAGTCTCCTGAGTGCTGGGATTACAGGAATGCACCACCACATCTGCCTGAACTGAATCTTGAAAGAGAAGGATTTAGATTTGGGCGTGGGGAAGAAAAGAGCATGACAGTAAATGCAAATCTGAAAAGGGCTGGATTTATTTAGAAAACAGTGAACAAAATTTGGTCCAAGCAGAGGGGGGTACGGGAAACACAGTGTTAGAAAGACAGTTTGGAGCCAAATTGTGAAATATTTTGACTGTTGGCTAAGAGCTTGAAATTTACTTGCCTAAAGAGTGTTTGATAACACAACTAAAGTAGACACAAATTTGAGGGAGAGAGCATTATGGAAAAGAGATTATTCCCTAGAGAAGAAATGAGGCCTGCGCTAGTCAAATTATGGAAAAGGGTATGGGCTTGAAATGTATTTACAAAGATAGAAGCTATTGGATTTCATAACTGATGGAGTATAGTGGGCCATGGAAATTGAGGCACTGATGATTACTCTTAAGCTTGGACAAGTGGGAAAATAATATTTTCATTAACCACAAGAAATTAAGCACAAAATATAGATTTAGAAAGTAAACGCAGAGGTTAGTTCTGAAATGAGTGAATTTGAGATGCTTATATCTGGCACACGCTAGATCATGGTGCCCAGCCTGAAATTTCTAGTGAGGAAACTATTTCAGGGGTATGGTGGTCAGATAAAATTTGTGTGAAAGGATCCACCTAGGATGGAGAGAGCCCTGTGCATAAAAGTATTTGCAGATCAAAATGTAAGAGAAATAAAGAACTATTGAGCTTGCTTAGAAAAGGAAATATCAAAGAAGCCAGTAGGTACATACAAATATTTGAAGTGTTGTTTTGCCCTAAGCCAGGCAGATGTGTATTAGATTGATCTAGACGGCAGTTTTGTTGTGATTCCATTAAGGTCCTGTTGGCTGTTACTAGACAGGATTGGAGTTGGAAGAGACGATCAATACACCTCAGAAAAAGTCCATCCTCCGAAGAGAAAATAGGTGGAGTTATATCAAAAGTGCCCAGGGTCCAGAATAAAGCTGGAGTAGGGCGTTCACCTGGAACGAAGAAGGGTAGGGTTCCAGGAGGAGGCCTTGATTTGCTGCCAAATTCTGCGGTGGTGCTGAAAACTGAGCACTAAACAACAGGCCTTGGGTTTGGCACTAGGCATTATTTCATCAGTGGCATGTCAAGGAAGGACAATAAGTTAAAGGGGATTTAGGTACGATGGGTAATGAGGGAATGGTGCCAAGCAATAAAGGAAATTTTATAAAACATGTTTTTCTTGCACACAGGTGCAGATTGTCAACTTAGGAGAATTATTATTTTAATAATTAGGTCATGACTGTGTATTCCGTTTTCCAAAGAAAAGCCAAGTAAGTTTACCTGGAGTTCAAAAAGGTATGAACTTTCCATTTTTAAGAAAAATTGTAGGTTGAGAAAGAACAGGTTTTTATTAATATCTGAAAAGGAAAAACAGACTTTATATTTATCTTAACTTTCTACTTTCTACTAAAGATGAAAATAAAATAAAGGTCACAAAGAGCAATTGAAAACATAATATTCAGAGGTTAGAAAAGGCCTGGCCATTGCTGCAGGCTGTTTCTACACAAGCAAATAAAATTAGAAGTTAAGAAGTTGCCCAGCTACCTACGTATTCAGCAGTCTTGGTACTCTAACACATATCTGTAGCAGTCAGAATGCTGATATTCCAGGCTCTAATTTTTCAAATAATTGTTCAAATTTTCTATTTTGCTTCATTTTTGAAATCAACAACTTCTCTCACTCCAGCACCAAGTCTAAACTTTTTGAAAATGTATTTTTAAGCGTGCTGAGCTTGGTGGTTTTTGACAAACAGCATGATATACTATAAAAACATGAATGCAATATAATTTAAAATAAATAGAAGAGCTCAACTGTAATGTTGATTTCTTCATAATTACGAAAGTATCCAAAATTCTCAATAACTAAGGAGGAAAGATAGATTTTCAGCATTGCTGGAAGGGATGGGAAACAAAAAATCATTTGGTTCTGCACAGGAGACATTGCAATGGCTGCCTCAGGAGGAAAACATCATCTTAGGATCCTGTTTCCTGGGAACGAGAAGGTAGGACAAATATGAGGAAAACATTAGATTGTAAAGTAAAAGTCTATACAGTAAAAATATGAGAAACGAGAAAAATAAATAATTTTTTTTCAAAAAGAGAGTAAAAGGTGCAACTGAGTAGTGATAAAAATTAAAATATGCTATGCCACAAAATGGATAAAACTATCAGCATTCTGTAACCTAAATGTTTAACTGTATTTTTCTAATACTACTGCATACAAGAAAACACTGCTTTGAGCCGTAGTCATTAAATTAACCTTCAGGCCCTTCAGAAACCAGCAACTAGGTTGAAACTACATCATTTCTTTCACGGCAAATGTGAAGCACTGAAATTTGTAGATCTTGATGAGTCATAGGATTAAACCGAGGATATACCTGTAGATATCAAAAGGCCCAAATTTCACAAAGTTGCTTTGTAGTTAGCAACCAATAAATGATCAGTCATATAAATAGTAAAGCAAAGTAGTATTTTTATACCCGATATGTAGTCTTTCATATACATAAATATAGGTGGTATTTATTTCTTCTGTGAAATAAGTTCCCTGATTAAGAAATATAAAATTGCACTTTTCAGAAACATAGTTACTTAATTTGCAGGTAACAATGCATAACTGCAGAAGCCAATGCTAAAAATGTATGTACTCAGCTTTTTGAAAAGAACCTTGTATATTTTGATTTTACTCAACAGGTTTTTTTTCCCTTTTATTTATCTAATAATGGTATTCCATACAATAAATCTGGAATAGTTATTAGAGTGGAATGTGATGTTTTGGGTAAAAATTATTTTAATGTTGCTCATTAGATATAAGAATCTCTGATACTAATGACATGACATTCGTCACTTCATGAGACAACGTGTACAAGAACACCCAGGCTTAGAAATGAGCCCTCCCACCTATACACATACACACCCCGCACCGCATAGAAGAGTTATTAAATTCTATTAAAGGTAAAGAGGGAAAAGAAGCATTTTTGAGGCCACAACTGCACAGAGCTCGTCAATCATAAGGAATGGAATGTATTGACATCAAAGAAAAATCTTACATTACAAACCCAGATGTCTTCATCATGGTGAAATGCATAAATTTGAGAGTTGCCCACAGATCCAAACCTTGGGATCTTCCAGAATCCACCCTAAAACCTTTCAAATTTCAACCTTAAGAGAATTTGTCTTATAAGAGCGTCTTTGGATAGCTCCTCCGACACTGATTCTTTCCAAAGCACTGGTCGGGAAAAATTTAAAAAGCGTTTCAGTCAGAAGCCTAGATCCTCGTTAGGATTCTACCCAGTTTGTCTCCAGTTCTCTTTCCACATATTAAATCGAGGAAGCATGGAAACTTCCTATCAAGTGTTACGGGAGAAGCATCAGCAATCTGCACACAGAACACTTTTTTGTTTTTGTTTTTTGACAACAGCATCAGCAGCTACGGAAGCATCAGGGCCCTTTCTTCTTTAGAATTTGACCTGCATCCCTCCCACCCTCCCTCCCTCCCGACCCCACCACTCCCTGCTTCGGAAACAGTGGAGCCAGAGCAAGCCCCTCCCCGGCCCTGCACCCGAGCCTGCGAGCGCGGGCGGATGCGGGAGGGAAGGGGCGGGGGAAAGTAAGTTGCAGGCGGCGTTGTCTCACCTTCCATGCCTGTTGTCATGGAGATGGGCTGCAGCCGGTAGACTGGAGGGTGGCCGGTGTGTCTGTGCTCGCGATCGCTTCGGCAACCGCGCACGAGGCGCGCTCTGGGCACCTGCGTGGGGACACAGGACCGCGGGGTCACGCTTCCCCGGCCTGCTTGTGTCAGTGCCTGTGTCTGCCGGTGCAGACAGAGGACCTGACCCCCCTCCCAAGTGTGTGCGCGCGCGCCTGTGGATTTGGGGGAGAACGACTGTGTAAACACGCGCGCGCGTGCGGACGTGTCTGGCCCAGTGTGTGTGTGAGACCGAGAGGAGGGGAGGGCTGGCCACGCCAGCAACAGGCTCCGCTCCTCAGTGCTGCTGAAAAGGGAGAGAGGAGGAAAGAGCCAGGCGCGTCCTGAAGGCTGGCGGCCAGGGCACAGGACCACTGCCTCTTGCCGGGGCAACTAGGGGTTAATGCATTTCTTGCAAAATTCCAGGCCCGCCACGGTCCAGCTGTGCCGGGGACATTTTGCTGTGCGTGGAGGCAGCCTCGCCGAGCAGGAGGAGCTAAATGTAACCCCGTTTATTCTCTTGGGGTAAAGCAAAAGCGAGGCTAACCTGTGCCGGTTTAACCTCGGACTAGATGCGTCACTGGGAATTCTTTTCCCCATGCTTTCTCGTGGGCGCCTCCCCTCCTCGAGCTGGCGCCTGGCGCTGTCCATGGTGCTGAAACGTTGGGTAGTAAGGACTCTCTCCTCAACACCAGCCAGAACACAAGATAAGCAAAGGACGCTCCAATAAAACCTTCAGGTAGCTGCGAGACACTTTTCCTCAACAGTGCTGAATAGGTAGCTTGCAAATAAATCACGTTCAGAACAAACCAAAACAAAACAACTGAAACTTCCTTCCTCCCCTCTACCCACTGGGGCTCTGCTTGCTTCTCCAAACCTAGTGTTGTTTCACAGATCCACTCATGTTTGACCTTCTGTCTAGAAATAACAATTTGTGTGCACCTTCCTACAAATTTAATTGTTCACTTTATGAACTATGGAATTGCCAGTGCTGGGGGAAAATATAAATGGAGAACTGGAACAGCACTTATGTTTTAAAAAATTAAAAGCTGAGGACATATAAGTGGCCAGGCTAAATAGTGAAGTAAAGACAACATTTATGGTTATCTGAAGTATTTACTAATTTAAGGAATTTAACAATCTTTTAAAAAGTTGGACAAAATATAACTCGGAGTTCATTTGGGGTCATACAAGAACAAAGTTGTCCTTTTAAACTTAAAGCTGTTACAACATCCCAAAAGGTTAGCTCACTGCTCACGGTGAAAGAGTGGGAGATAGACCGTCTTCTAGTGACATTTTCATAGCTATGGTTTTATTGACTCTTTTTAAAACTTATTAAGGGCCACATGCTTTATTGGCACTCTGGACAAGAAGAATACTTCTTAAAAATTAGTTTACAGGTGAGCCCCCTGAAGATCTTTCTAAAATAAAATGCAGATTCTGATTCAGTAGCTGTGAGACTGGGTCTCAGAGTCGGCATTTCTAACAAATCCTAGGTGATGCCAGAGATAGCTAGTCTTAGGACCACACCTCCACTAGCAAGGTGCTAGTGATACTGTTTTTTGGAAACACCATTACTTATAGCTTGTGAAAGGAGTTTATTATCCTCTTTGTATTGGTTTATGTTTCCAAAGTATTGCAGAACAATCTATTCAAATCAGCCCAAAAGTTAATTGTAAACACTTTGTCTGTACATTATTACCAAATTATTTGTAAATTTGATTCATTTGATGTTGACATTGTCTGGGTCCATGCTATATTAGATTCTGCTCTACATTTCTATGCTATTATCTGCAACCACCCATTCTCCTTGTTAGCCTTCTTCAAAGGAGGTGAACCAAGTTACAGGAGTCTGTTGCTGACATATTAGCCCTATTTTAAGAATTTATTATGTTTGGGGATTTTGACTTTAAAATGGTAAACACTCATGAAGCTGATTTAAAAAATCTGGGTGTTACAGCTGTAATTCTCAATCAGTTTAGAAAGTGGAGTAGGATGATTGTTTCATTGATCATGTGTGTGACTATTGATCTGTCAGATTATTCCCATCATAAACATGAAAGGTGTTCATGGAATATGTGGTGAATGTTTAAATTTAAAAATATTTATTACAGTAAAATACACATTGATGGTAATCCCTTCATAACACTCCTTCTTGTTTCAAACACACTTATCCCATTATTTTTGACACTTTTGGAAGCAATTCTGGAAGTTCTTTTCTGCGAGTGTCTTTATTTGTACTGTCATGATTGTCATGGCTGTCTTGAAGTCAAAAACATTTACCTTTCATACTCATTTTGATTTGAGGAAAGAGCCAGAACCCACATGGTGCCAAATCTGATGAAAAAGGTGGATGAGGACACATTGTAATTTTTTTATAAGCTTGCCTTTCCATTGGATGGCATTTGACAATAGCATTCACCATACTTTTGACTGTACCATAAAGACACCCATCAGAGAGGACTTCCAGGTCTGCTTTAGAAAGTGGCAAGAATGATGGGATTAGTGTGTTGGAACAAAGGAGAAGTATTTTGGAGGGAATTAATGGCAATGTCTTTTACTGTAATAATTTTTAAAAGTTTAATCATTCACTATATGTTGAGCTCATCTTATACATAGATTTCGAAGGTTGCTCTGGCTGGTTTTCTTCTTTGAAAAAAATCCATACCTACATCATTTGACACAGTGCTTCCAGTTATTGCTCTTGAATTAATGCCAAAGGAAGGCTTTAACTATAAATTAGATTCCTTAGTGTTAGTTGATACATGACCTTGACCTTTTCAAGCTATATGAAGGTGATGTTATTCTCAAAAGTCTGCAAAGTGGCTCATTCTGGAAAGCATAATGGATTGAAAAATCCATTATGTTCCACTTATTTTGCTGGATGCTGGGACACAAAGATAAATGAGATTTTTTGTTTGCCCTTGAGGAGATAAATTATAAAAACAACACAGCAAGTTCTACAAAGTTCACAGGAGCACAGAAATTAATATGCTATTTATATTTTATTGTCCATTGCCAAAGAAGTGATAAAGAATTACAAAAGTGAAACAGAACAGTTGAACTTCAAGTCCTTCCCACTTTAGAAAACTGTTGGTATGAAAAATATAAATGCTCCCCAAAGCTCATGCGGTTAATCTATACTTCCAGAGAGACTGTGATTTATCTTCTGGGCAACACAATTAGAAAGATAGATAAATGTGCATGTGTGTTGTATTTTATATCTTCCAAGGCAAAATTGCCTTTACTATGTGTTATGGTTTGTGTCTAGATGTCCCCACAAAGCTCCATGCAGTCATGGGGGAAGGCTTTTCAGAAGTGGCTGAATCTAGAGTTTGTGACTGATTCATGGTCCAATGCTAGGATTAGGGTGTGAGTGCTACACCCACCAGTAGCCAGTAGCCTGCATACAATATAAGGGACCGAGAAAGTCTTCTTGCTCCCCTTTGTTGCTCTGCTACAGTCTGCCTGCCATGAACTGTGCTCCTCTGTGATGGCTCTCTGCCACACCACCCTGCCTTGGAGCTGGCCAATTTTGGGCTAAAATCTCTACAAACTGTTAGCCAAAAAAATCTACCCTCCTTTAACTTTGAGTGTCTGCTATTTTGTCTCAGCAGTGAGAAAAGTAACTAATACATTATGTTTTGACATTATATGCTCGACTTAGACAAAAATATTTTATATGAAACAACTTCCAGTTTACAACCTTCTCTACACGGTGGTCACTAAAGTCTTGGTCTATATATCACTACTTTTTTTAGTAAGATACTTAAAGAATTTAACCCCTTTAGATATTCCCTCAAAAATGTTTCTTTCAATACCAACTTTGTGACTTAAATTCTTACACTCTTTCTCCTCAAACCAATCTAGGGTAGATAATGTTTTCTTATATACAATGAAAATTGTGTAACTGATCATATTTTACCATTTCTTTTAGTTACAAAGAATGTCAAAGTCAATGCAATAGTTAAAAATTAATAAACAATCTTAAGGCTTTCTATACTTCTAATCTTTCTCTATTGTGTTAGGTTCTTGCTATGCTTTAGATCTCAAAAGTCCTCCTCAAAGTCTTGTGTTCAGAGATGGGGCTCATTTGAAAGGGGTTGGGGGTATGGCTTGGAAAGGTGGATAGTCTCCCGGCCCTTTCCTTTGCTCTGTTTTCTGACCACCACGCAGTGCACAGCTTTCCTCTGATAAACCTTTCACCATCCTGTTTCTGCCTTGGAGCCAGCTATTATGGACTGAACCCATTGAAGCTGTGAGCCAAAATAAAACTCTCTCTTAAGTTGTGGCTGTCAGCTATTTCTTCCTAGTTACAGGAAAGAGATTAGCACACTATTGAAATTTGGTTATCTCTGATAATGGTATTTTAAACTTATTTATGTGAATGTCATAAAATCAGAAATGGACAAATAAATAAATAAATAAATATATTTTCAGCCTGAAAATGTTGACCATCGAGTGAGTGTGTATGGTTGTTTTACAAATTTCTTTTCAATGGGATACTAAAATATAAAAAAATATGTCAGTAGTTAGCTAGGAAGACAGAAATCTAAATCATAATGAGTAAATACAGTGTTAAATTGGTGGAAGAGATTTTTTTATTTGGATAATTACAGATCAGGTCATCCTCAGAACACTTCATCTCGCTGTTTCTTTTTCTGTACAGAAATTAGCATTCAAAGTATGGCTAGGACTTTTTGTTATGTCTGAGTTTAGAAACATTAATTATCTACCTTATTAGAAGACATGATGACTATAGGAATGTACAAAGCATGACAACCCCTTTCTGATGAATATACTCTAGAAAGAGGACATTACAAAGAAACCGAAGGCAAGAATTTCTTCTAACATTCAATTCAAAGTTCTTTTCAGAGGAAAATTTTGTTTGCACGAAATTTTGTCACTTTGGTGCCAGTTGGCTTCTCACTCTGAGGTTTTGTACAGTTGGATCACTCCTTGAAGTCATAGTAAGGCCAAGATATTACTTGAAACTTTTCAGGAAAATCTATATCTCATTTGGCTGAAGTTTGATACTTCTTCCTGAGAAAAAATGTTTAATGTAGTTATGGCCTTTTATTTGAACATTACTATTGAGTCAAACATTGAATTAAACAATTTTGAAATGCAAAAAATTTTTAAATGTGTTAAAGACAAACATAAGTTATTTCTGGTATGACTGTTTGTTAGATTAATGCTTACATAGC